AGAAGCAGCCTCAATGGAAGACACTAGCAGGCATTCACTCAGACGTTACCTGGTCAGTAGACATCTTCGGAGTCTATCTTTGCCTGCTCGATGTCCGACGCTTCCATCCTACTGAACATGTACCGGTATACAGGGGGGAGGGGATCAGACCGTGAGTGCAGAGACGCACAGCCGTATATAGAGACGGCTCTGGTGAGTGGTATTTACAACAGTTAACGTTAAATACAAGTACTCCGCAGCGACTCTAGGGGTAGCTGTTTGACAAAACCGGAAAACTGCATAGTATGCCTTTAAAGACACCCTCCGGAAGCACACTTTGCTGCCAGGTGTACCAGTCCGGGTTCGGAACCAGGTCTGGTGCCAGGTCCGGGTCCAGTCCCCTTGAGAACAACTTCGAAGAAGTGCTCGGCGTGTGTGGAGGGGCAGCCCAGCAGTCCTACAGACACCCAGAGAGGGGCAGCACAAAGTATCACTCAAACAAAACAAAAATCTGTTGAAAAAACATTTTCCTTTGTTTTTCTCTTCTTGTTTTAAAACAGAAAACAAAAAAAGAGATGTCCCTCAGGTTGTGGCAAGAGCTCAAACATTTACCTGCCAATGTACAGCAATTTTGTCTTTCACCTAATAGGTACTTGAGTTAGTGTTTTTCAGGTTGTGATTCAAATTCTGGATATTTGTGTAGAAATTGAAGGGAAGATAAAGCTCAAATTTCTACATATTTGTCACAGTGTAGCAAAAATTGTGTCTCTGTCTCGACTGTGTGCAGCGTGTACATAGTCTTCATCACCAGTTTGACCAGTGTTACTAAACTTTTTGTCTGGGCACCTGCATGTCAGAACACCTTGGAGGCTGCCAAAGCTCTTGTCTGCAGCTCTTCCCCTTGAGGCTCCTGACTTTGTGTGTCCCTTTAGGCTGGAGGTGGATGGCAGTGGTGCTGGTGTGGTGTTGCTGCAGGAGGATGAGCAAGCTACTGTTCACCCAATTTGTTATTTCTCTAATAAGTTCAGTAAGAACCAAGTGAATACAGCACTACTGAAAAAAGGTTTTTGGCCCAAATGCAAAACTCCAGACAGAGACCTGTGAGGTGGTTATTGCTAGTGCAGGACTTGAATTTGAAAATTCGCCAAAAAAGATTTTTGTTTTTTTGGGAGGAAATGTTTGATTTGTCGTAGTGAGGGTGTTTCAGCCCTGGCCGTAATATCGACCTGTGTCTAGTTTTGCACTGTGTTTTGTGCAACTGTACCTGTAGGTCTCCTCCTGACTGGCTGGATCCGTGTTTGGCTCATTAAACATCCTGCAGTTTAAAATACCTGGGCTTTCCAGTGCTCCGGTGACAGAAACCTGACAGGAGCAGCTCGGTTCGGTTCTCAGCTTATAAACCTAGGTTGAGTCAGCACTTCTTTAAAGAGACAGTTCCCTTTTACTTCATTGTTTTTGGCCTTGGTTCACCCTGACGTCATTGCTTCTATTTTTTTTTACACTTTAACATTAATAGTGATAAATTATTTAACTTTATTGATAAATAAGTGTTCGGACTGTGATTTAGGGACTGGGGAGGGACAGTCTTTGTACACTATTAGGGTTGTGCTCCTACCCCCCAGACGAGGGTGTAACAATCAGATTTAAAGCTGCAGTAGGTAACTTTTACTGTGTCTAGACAGCAGTACATGAGACAGATAATGTGTGAAATAATCAGGTTCCTCTGGCTCCTCCTAGTGTTCCTAATGGCATTTGTGAGAATCCACCGGGCCTGAACAAAAGCAACCAATCAGAGCTGAAAAATGTCATTCACAAACGAGTTCATGATGATAATGGCCTTGGAGGAGATGCCGGTGTCGGGATGGACCTGTTTCAGCACCTTGTACACATAGATGGCATAGCTCTCTTTCCTGACCTTTCGCTTCTTCTTGCTGGCGGTCTTGGTCACAGCTTTCTTGGAGCCCTTCTTGGGCGCGGACTTCGATGGCTGAGGCATTCTTCCTCTTCTTCCTCTGTAGTACCTAACAGTAAAGATGGCAGATGTCTGGCGGGAGAGGGACTCACTTTATACAGGCTGCATGCAAATACAACTGTACAGTCCCCCTCCTGTGATTGGTGCAGCTTGTGGAGGATTGTGTTTCCATGGCAACCTGCCTGCAGTGTGGAGACAAGTTGTGCACAGAGAAAAGAATTAGGAAGCTTTTTGTTTGAGAAAATAATGTATATCGTTACATCGCTGAATTCTCCCAGTGGGACTAGATCTCTAAGATGCAGTAAGTTTAGCAAATGATTTCAAGTCAAGGGACCAAAGTAAGAGAAAGCTTTCTCCCCCAGCTCAGTGAAAACCTTTGGAACCTGGTAGAACGAAGCTGAAGACTGAGATAGAGAAAGAGCTACACTTCCTCACCTCATGCCCAGGCTTAGAGAAATTAAAGGGGAACTTCGGCAGATTTTTACCCGAGTCTTGATCGCTAGAGGTCACCGAGTACTGTCGATAGGAAAAACAATGACCAAAACCGGTGCTAGCAAACTGGAGATCCTGCAGCTAATAGCCAGAGCTCCCAGTTAGTTATAATACACTTCTTGGGGGCATATCCTAAAGAGTGCCTTTTGCTCCTCTTAACAGACACAAAATGCAATTAAAATGTCTGTGCAACATGATCAGGGCCCTTACGTGACAACATCATGCTTTTTCAACTCATACAGAAACCGTTTAAATTCAAAGTTTACAAGTACTGTCACCTACCTGTTTTTCCATCGCTCGCTTCACCGAAAGCCCAGAAGAGTCGATCACGAGACTTGCGCTGAAGTCCCATGGGAATTCAGTTGTTGCAGGAAGTTGTAGTGTGCAGATTGGAGCGTGGTGTGTGAAGACATTGACATTTTTGAGGGGGAAATGACCTTCAAGTTTTCGTCGCTAAGGCATGACCTCCGTGATCGACTCTTCTGGGCTTTCAGTGAAGCGAGCGATGGAAAAGGTACGTATCGACAGTACTCGGTGACCTCTAGTGATCAAGACTCGGGTAAAAATCTGCCGAAGTTCCCCTTTAACATTTTCCCACCCTAGGTGCAAGGCCTTCTTGATTGTAACGGGTGCTAGAAAATTGCAAAGCAAAGAGTATAAAAAAGAAGCCTATTAAATATGTATGATGGTTAAAAATCTAAACAAAACAAACATACAGAGAGAATTGTATAAAAAGTTCCTAAAAATATCAAGTATCATCAACTCATCTCTGATCAATATTCACAGGAAATAATTGATCAAAATGTATCCAAATCGCTTGTTTTACACAAACTCCGTAAAATATGTCACTCAGTTTAAAGAACGAAGTAAAAAGGTTGAACTACTGTGTTAGAGGGACCTCAATAAAAAGGGAGAGGTAAAGTCTGTCTGTCATTCAAGTCCACATGCTGTTTGATATTTAATGTTGGTGAGACTCATCATCATACTGAACATAGGCTGTAGTCAGAGACTGAATAAAGAGTATGCAACCCTACTTTAAATGTTCATTATGTGTCCCATATAAGTTCTGGTGAGAGGGCCTTCTGTTTATTGGGCCCCTAAACTGATATCAGAAGGGAAAGCTCTCTCAGTTTTGGAGGAAGGAAATTAATTATCTTTTTAATCTGGCTTTTACTTACTCATTTTTAGGTTGTTTCAATTTTCTATGTGAGGCACTGAAGAAGGTGCTGTATAAATAAAGTTAAGTTGATTTTCTGTGCTTTTTCTACACTGTGATACACAGTATGCATCTTCCTAAATACCATTATCTTTGTTCTTCTATTTTGCAATCAGAGTTAAAGCTGCTTCCAAAGGCTTAGTGTTAGCTAATGCTTCTGATTTGGGGCCTGTGTTCCTTGTGTTGTACACTGTAATCAACCATCAACATTACAGGAGGGATTCCTACCTCTGCCAGTAGAGGGCACTGTGATTCCTTTTATAACCTCTTTCTGTGCACAGCACTCTCACACCGGCCCCCACTATCAAGTCTATTAACTCTGATGATGGACTGAATATGCAGAGTTGGGGCGTAATGGATTACATGTAACTGAGTTATGTAATCAGCATACAAAAAAAGGTAACCGTAATCCATTACAGGTACTGGGGAAAAAAGACAATCAGATTAGTTACATTTAGTAGAAGTGGGGATTGTTAGCAGCATTGCAATTTTAAAATATGTCCTTCTGTAAAAACACAGAAGGTACAGTTTTAATAAAAATATTGCTTTCCATTGTTCTGTTGTCTTATAGAATACACTTACATCAATACTTCTTATTGATATTTCTTTTCTCGTTTTTATTTGTGTATTTGCTGTCGAGATAATCCAACCTGTGTACTTGCAGATTGTACGGCCCTCTCTACAGCCAGTGTAGATAGTGGGCTCTACAGTGGGCTACCACAGAAACATGGCAAACTGTTTGTATGGTTGAGAGACACAGATGATGACTGAGGAGTAGAGGGAGCGCCCGTAAAAAGCCGCTGAATCAGAGAAAACAAAGTGTATTTTCCGATTGTCTCACAGCAGTCACGTTAACAAAAAACATCCCCACACACACACACCTGACTTTGGTCTGAATAAAGAGTGTTAGCATGATAGTTAGCCAAATAAACTTAGCTGATTCTCAATGCTTACCTGTTCAGGAGATTAGCCAACTCAAATTTGTGATGAAAATAATTTATTGTGGTTAATTTCCATTATTGTGATAATCGTCAATTTTCTCACATCGCTTGACTTGAAAAAGCTGCTCTAGCTCTCCAACATACAGTCCTATATTGACTTCCAACAACGAGGAGCCCACATCTTTCCAATAATGCAAGAAATGTGTTTCTTCTATTGTCCTGATTATCGTGATAATATCATGTATTGCAGTTATTTTGGATAAGATAATCGTGACATTAACTTTTCATATTGTGCCATGCCTAGTTACTACTCAGTTTGGTGACGTTGAGATGTGGTTTACTCTCGTCATTTGTCTTCTACTTTTTCCAAAGTCACAATTGAACTTTCACACTCGACACATTTAGTGTTTCCCCCAGAATTTTATTATTTGAGTCAGGGTGAAAACAGCACGAAGACCATAAAACTCTGCATGGACACCCAACATAATAACAATAATCAAGGTATACATGTGTGGGACATCGGAATCAAAAGAAAACCAGGATGAAGTCTGCAATCAGTGTACAGCGCTGATACTGTCACAGCATGACTCTGTGCTTTGTAGTCCAGTGGGACTGTACGGACACAACCACACGGTCCTCACTGGACGCTCACAGAGTGAACCATGCCAAGGCAGTACAGCCAACAATATTTCTCTTTGCACAATAAATATGTTCACCATATTAGAAGGGGATGACACTGACAGCGAAGGAAATGTGTTGGTAATGTTCTGTTTGAAATAAAAGATGCAAACCCAAATCCAACTGTGAAGCACATCCTTCACTGCTGTCTTCTTACAGTATGTACAGTATGGACGTATGTGTGTGAGAGGTTATGCTGGTATGTGCCAACTGTACACTGTGTGTGTGTGTGTGTGTGTGTGTGTGTGTGTGTGTGTGTGTGTGTGTGTGTGTGTGTGTGTGTGTGGGCGTCTATCGATAGAGGTAATCAGCTTGTATGTTGGCAGCTATCTCTGCTTCCCACTTGTCTCCATTGTTGAGGAGCTTCTCCTTGTTGTAGAGCAGTTCTTCGTGGGTTTCAGTGGAGAACTCAAAGTTAGGACCCTGAGGAGAGAAGGACAGAGAGAGGATGGAGAGAGGGAATGGAAGAGAGAAGACAGGGATCAGAGGTAAGAGCAGGATTAAAAAGGACACCTGCTGGGCAACCATTGGTATTGCATGTTAAGGATGTGTGAAAGTTGGATAAAATGAGACTATTTAAAGAACCATCATGTGACATGAAAAACTTAATTTACTGTATGGGGACCAGCACGGTTTGCGCTGTGGATCACATACGCACCTCTACGATGGCGTCCACAGGACAGGCCTCCTGACAGAAGCCGCAGTAGATGCATTTGGTCATGTCGATGTCGTAGCGAGTCGTCCTCCTGCTGCCGTCGGCGCGAGTCTCTGCTTCGATGGTGATGGCCTGGACACACACATTGTGGGAGATGAAGAGTGACACAGAGAGAGCGCTACCTCTATAGCTCTGTTATCTTGTGTTTAGACTGAATAGAAATAACCAGGTTTAATCACAACTGACTAAATGTATTCACAGTAATGTATTGTTAAAGCATGCATGTATCTAAAGTAGTTTTCTCTTGTTCATATTAAAGGCTGACATGATGCAATCAACACATCTAGTGGTGTGTGTGTGTGTGTGTGTGTGTGTGTGTGTGTGTGTGTGTGTGTGTGTGTGTGTGTGTGTGTGTGTGTGTGTGTGTGTGTGTGTGTGTGTGTGTGTGTGTGTACCTGGGCAGGGCAGATAGCTTCACACAGCTTGCAGGCGATGCAGCGCTCCTCTCCTGAAGGATACCTGGTGTGACACCATTACAAACACTTTGTTAAAGTTTGATCCTGAGTGCTGCTCCTGCACCGAGGGCCCCTTTAATATGTCACCTTGAGTCATGATTAAAAGACCTACTGAGCTACTGCATTACAGTTTAATCTAGCTATAGGTTTTGATGCGCTTTCAGACAGTAAGCTGTCACGGCCGTAGCTACCGCCTGACAGCGTCAACGTTCTGTGTTTTGAATGAGTGACAGCAGAGTGTCGTGAAAAAGGGAAAAGAGAGCTTGGAATCAAGAATGGACGGACTCTAACAGGTTCATGCTTTCCATGGGTAGACCATGGCGATATTTAAATGTGACTAACATTAGGAGACAAAGCACAGAGCAAACATACCCACTGTTCAATTTGCTTAGTACAAAAAAAATCTCCAGCTTTCCACTGTGCTGTCATTTGTAATGCCTGTTGAGTTTGTGGGGAACAGGCGAAGTGTTTCACTGAGCACATTTTATTTAGCACAGGCAATCAGCAAGTCATGGTTTTACTCAATATTCAGGGAACATGGTTTCATATTGTTATACTGTTATCAGTTATTTACATTCTAACTTTTCAGTGGCTGTTTATTTTGAATACATTTGACAGAATCACAATGCATGTCATTGGTTTTAAGGCTGCAACTACAGATTTTTTTCAGCCTCCATCCTTTTCTTTCATGCATTAATTGATTTGTTTTTCGGTCCAGAGAATGTCAGAAAATGGTGGAAAATGTTGATCAGTGTTTCCCAAAGCCCAAGGTGACGTCCTCAATTGTCTTGTTTTGTCCATAACCCAAAGACATTCAATTTACTGACACAGAGGACTAAAGGAAGCAGAAAATATTTACATTGGAGAACATTTTTTCTTTTAAAAATGACTCAAAACAATTAATTGAGTTTCAAAATAGTTGGTAATTGACTAATGGTTGCAGCTCTAATTATTTTCAACCTAACAAAAGTCTGTCATTTGACACACAACACACTGGGCAGCTGTTGCAAGGTCATCCTCACCTGCGCAGGGCGTGTTCTCCTCTGAAGCGAGGCGACAACGGGCCCTTCTCGAACGGGTAGTTGATGGTGGCGGGCTCTCTGAACAGGTAGCTCATTGTCATGCCCAGACCTGACATCACGACACAATCATTGGTGTGTGAATGAGCATTTCTCAGACTGACTCATGCAGATCACACAGACAAAGAATTGTCCAGGGAAAAACAGCAGCCAACATGACCGTGTGACTGCAAAATACATTCTGATCATGTTATAATGGTTCCAAAAGAAACTCAGTAAAGAAAGACAAAGAATCTGACTGTAGAGACAGACTGCTGAGAACTTCCATTTCATACTTTCAGTGTGTCCATGTGTAAAATGTTATTTTTACTGTATGTGTGTAGCTGAGCTGACCTCTGAAGAGCTCTGTCCACAGCAGCGTCTGAGCGGCTCGGTCTGTGATGGACTTCATGTCTGTGGGGATGTCCTGAGCATTCACATACTCTGCACACACAAACACAATCAGGTGAGAGAGCTGCTGATAGTGAGGGGGTGTGTATGTGTGTGTGTGTGTGTGTGTACTGACTGTTCACCATGACACAAAATCACACTGCATTCATTATGACATCTGTGCAGTTAATTATTGTCAGAAGCTCCGTTTTAACCCAGAGTGAAACATGAAAGGCCTCAAACAGCAAAATATCTATTGCTCTTTTTTACTTTGGACTTCGTTGCAAACTCTGTATTTATGTCCATGGCAGGATCCTGTGAGTTTTTCTGTGAAATGAACGTGTTCTGAAGCAGGTTAACTGTGCAACATAGGTTACCATGGTGATCTACATCGGCTAAAAGTGATCCAGCTTCATGATACCAGAAAGCTAAGCCCAAAAAGATCACTAATCTCACTTCCTAGTCCAGACTTTCGGGGGCCTGGACTAGGACAGAGGAGACACATCACTGACAACAATACATCACAATGAGCTGTTTGTTTGTTTGTTTGTGTGCTGTAGTGCTACTTACTGAATCCCTCCCTTTGTGCGGACACACTGAAGGACCTCACTAGATTCTGGCTGGCCCCTAAAGTGCCTGAAAGCAGAAAGGAGCATTATCATTAGGATTGCTACAGTGTAGACATCCATTGCTCAGTGCTGTAATACGTTTCATTACCTATACAAATGAAGGAGACTACACAGGTGACTGATGTTTTTGAATCTAACGTGGTTCATATTATTGACACACACATGTGCTTTGAGATTTTACAACTTTTTCTTGTGTAATTCCCAAAGTGTTTCTATTTTTTTTTTTTTACTCATTGTTTAAATGTTAAAATGTTTAAAGCCTTTTCATGTAGTGTTAATTCTGGCGCCCCTGTGGACAAAAGCAGGAGTGTTTCTACTGCCTCTTTTCATGATTTCAAGGGGACTGTGTATACGATGAATCAATTCTATCTAGTATAATAAAGTCACAATAGCTGGACTGGAGAATTGTCTTAACCTGTTTGTACACATATTACCAGTATTTGTGTAAGTGCAACTGGTCCTCTAGCTGACAAATCTTACCTGGCCTTGACACGGAGTAAAGTAAACGCAACGTTGCAGCCATCACGTCCTTGAAGCTAAAACCAGACACAATAATAACAGTGAGGATCAGGTCAAAAGTAGCCCCTGCATCATCGCAATGTACAACCATACAAAACGTTAGGAATGAGTTTTTCATTTTTTATATCAGTACAGTACACAGCAATGTTGTTCATGCTGCGAAGAGCTGACTTATCTCAATTTCATGGAATTGACTCCTATGACTTTGGTTTAGCAGTAGGGCTGCACGATACGGTAAACAGTAGTGCTGGAAAGATGTGACATTTGTTGGGGTCTGTACCAAACAAACATGTTTTCTTACATGAGGAGAACAAGATTTTTAGGCCAGAACATCTCTGCAGCACTACAGTGCTACATTGAAATGCTGTTTGTCACACATTTGACCTTTATCAAAAAACTGCTGCCTCTGTGATTTGCAAATTGCAAATTCAATATTTTTTAGATTAATTGTGCAGCACAATTTTACACCACAAACAATATAGTGGGAAAGTGCATCCTCTCAATGATCTAACTACTCCTAACCCTTAACTAGCCCTCTCTAACGGGACAAACACTGTGGCACAACAATTTGTGATCATTTGTTTCTTTCTTGTGTAATAGAACATTTGAGAACTATCTCTTGGAATACTGAAATACTTTGAGTATTTCATGTCAGTGTTTATACAACTTTTGACAAGGTAAGCAATGTTAAAGTTGGCGTCTTTTTTATTTTGAAGTTCTGTTTTTATTACGTTTTACGTCATTTTGTATGGCCAAGGAAACCCTACAGTAATCAAAGCCTTCAGAATGACATTAAAAGGTTTTTATATCCTACACCGATCAGCCATAACATTATGAGCACTGACAGCTGACAGCTCTTGTGGGGTGTTCCTGTCTGCAGAGGTCAGTGTCTATCAAAAGTGCTCCAAGGAAGGAGGTGGGGAGTGAAGGCTGGCCCGTGTGGTCCGATCCAACAGACGAGCTACTGTAGCTCAAACTGCTGAAACAGTTAATGCTGGTTCTGATAGAAAGAGGTCAGAACACACAGTGCAGAGCAGTCTGTTGGTATGGGACCACCAGGGTGCCCAGGTGGTCACAATGTTATGGCTGATCGGTGTGTGTATTTTGACAGTGAAATAAACCTATAAAAACAGAATGAATACAGTACAGTGATATACAGTGAAACCGCCAGAGTCCTAACACATACTGAGATATATATATTTGGTCATGCTGCCCAGCACTGGCTTTGAGCTCTTGGCTGTCCCTTTGGTGTGCCTTGGGGGCAAATAGCTCGAGACCCAGTGATGTAAACAGTGCAAGGTTGATTCTGACAAACACTGAACAGTGGCACTGTGACATTACAGGTCCCAATACGATCTCTATTGCTAACCTTCACCTTTAGGTTGTGAGGTTGCCGCCACCGCAATAACAACAAACAACGATAAACACCACCTGTTTATCGTTGTTTGTTGTTATTGCGCCACCTGTTTATCGTTGTTGTAAACGGTAATGTAACGTTACCGTTTCCCAGCTACTAACGTTAACCTCAGCCCACTGACTGTGTGTCTGTGTGTGAACACTGAGGCACACTGATAAACTAACCGTGATGTGACCTCAACCTGAGCGTTATTTGAGTTCCCGGTACACCGCTAGCACTTCAAGCCACTTAGCATGGCGGTGTTAGCGTTAGCTAGCCAGCACTAGCCTGCAAAGTACACACAGAACACTCTTATGCCCACTCGACTGCACCACATTACAGCCGTACTGTGCAATATGAACTGTGGTTCAGTTTAATTTGGGAAAGGTATATGTTTACTGCTGAACTAAGCTAGCACCGAGCAGTAGCCGGTTACATACTGTCAAGGACTTTTGCGCAAAGGTCGCGTGAGGTGAATTAAAGGTAATTCTGTTCATGTCAAGATCAGCGACGGATGATAATAAATAAAAAATGTAATCCGAGGTAAAGGAACCTTGTAAGAAATAAGATTTGATTCATTTAAATAGTTTTAGACTCACCGCAGTTGTCGCTATTTGGCCTTCTGAACCAGAACAGCGGACGATTTGCAGAACGGACCCTGCGTCTACAGGAAGTTAGACAACGTGATGACGTCGTGGACGTCTGACTGACGTAACTACATATTTGACGCGACCAAGAAGCTGTACAACACACAGCCCACTTCTCCCAAAAGGATTCTATCAATTATTATAATGAGTTTCTCAATAATCTGGATTAATGTCTCAATATTTTGACTTAGTACCTCAAAATAATGACTTTGAGAAACTTTAATATTATTTTGAGACACTAAGTCATTATGTTGAGATGTTAAGTAAATAGGCTTATTTGAGATGAACTGCGCCTCGCCTGGAATGTGGACGAGATCAGGCCGCAGCAGCAGGAGGAGGGGACAAAAAGCTGCAAGTCATTCTGACAGTTTCCAGCAGCCTTCAGAGAGGAAGTCACAGAATTGTTTGCACCCTGTTAGATCATCTTTAGGCTGCCTGTAGTTTGCAGACCATGTTCAAATATAGAAATAAACTGTATTATTATTACCAACCACACAAGATCTGATTAGTTTCACTCTCTAGAAATATACTAGTCCATATATTGTCCACACATTTTAAGATCTAGATACGCATTTACAAAATCTCAATACATCTGCAAACCTGATTACGGACATATGGAATCTGAACACACTTTTGCAGATTCCTGTACACAAATCTAAGTACATATTTACAGATGATTTTACACATATTCAAATCTGATTATGCACATACGGATTGAAACATAGTTTCACAACTCTCCACACACATATGTAAAGAGTTTTGTTACAATAAGTGGTAAAGAGTTTTGCGTAGGTGAGCTAAGCGTTCTATGAGTGGAGGGAACTAGAAATATCACCTGTTGTCAAGTCGTATTCATGCTTCGTCCTTTTAGTTTCAGTAGTGAACGTTTCTGTTGCATTAGAACCTTATGGGATGGTAATGATTGTTCCAGATATTAGGAAGGACCTCAGGTGTTACTGACTGAAAGTGCCGTGACCATGGGCAATGCTGACAAAAGGACTGTTGACTGACACAACATAAATAGCTAAGTAATAAGTTTGACGTTTTCTGTTTGTGGAGGGAATAAAAAACATAATAAAGCGCCATGTCTTGCTCAGTGTCATGGTCAAGCTAGCAAGTAAAACAAAAACAATTAAATAATACAAATGTTCTGAAATCAGTTATTTGTCACAGTTTCTCTGGGGTAATGTTTAGTGGGCCCCTGTTGACCTGCTGGTTCCTCCCACACACAAACTGTGGCAAGAGGTCTGCAGATTTATTTTGGATAATATCTGTAACTTTGAGCTTCTACTGGAAAATGTTTTTTTTTTTTTCTTAAGAACCAATGCTATATGAAAAAAAGTACTTTCTAATCAATCTCATTATTTTTATGTTTAACGGTAATCTTTTGTCTATTTTTTAATTGATCCTTTATTTAATTGTTTGTATATGTGTCTGTTTAAACTGAATTGGTATTCATTAGTTGTGTCATTGCATTGTTAATTGAATTGTATTAATAAAATAGTACAAAAAACATCTACTACACACACACCAGCACTAATACAACTATTGCAACCACACTGTAAATCCTAACAGCATATCTTAATAAATGAAGTAAACTTAATCCTCCGAACAATGGTTGGAGGTTCTAAGCAATATTACAGTAATAATATAATAGGCCTAATAATATCACAGTTCATACAAGAAGGATATATCTTTCTGTCTGTTTGCTGTATCAGGGTCTGTGTGTTACATCAGTGATTCCCAACCTGACTGGGCTGTGGGGGTACGTCTTACAAACATGTTATTTCAGTGACAATTTATCTCTATAGGTCATAAATGTCAAAGGTTAGATATGGCAGCATGTGGAAAAGTAGAATTTGATACTGCTCTGGTTATTATTTTATTACCCAATGAACCGCATCTTTAGAAGCTGCAGCATGCTCGAAAACACAGCGTCAAATTCGTTGGTGGCGAAAATGTGTTCTATGGGTCTCGGAATAGGCAGGGCAAATTGTTTAACCCCAGCTACTAGACTTAGCCCCCATAACACGTTAACCGATATGTATGAAAATCGGTACACATGTGTATCATGACCAGACAAATAATACAGCCTCTCAACCCATACCTCAAACCCAACAGGAAGTTGGCTATTTTGAATTTGGTGGTCTATTTTGGCGATTTGAATGCGTAATTGATTGGATCCACTTCAAATTTGGTCAGTCTACTCTAAAGACTTATTTGTGACTGTGCATCCAACAGTGCGTCCATGGCTTGGCGTCGAATTTTGACATTTCGCCATGAAATAGGAGGTTGTCATAACTTCAGTGTACTTTGTCCAATCTCCATCAGACTACACACCAATATTCAGTCATAGTCATAGCGCCACCTACTGGAAACAGGAAGTAAGCCTTGTATGGTAATCGTGATGTCATCTACATAAAATTTCCACAGTGTGGTCTACATATGATGCTGCCGCATGACGCAGCCGCAGCACACCCCGACACACGTGGACTACGAGGGCCCAATCATCGCTACGTGCAGCTTTAATATATGGTTGTAATACTGGCATAACTTTGTTAAAATACAACATCACAATTGATTTAAAAGTTTAAAAGTGAAATGACCCCATGTTCCTGCTACAGACACACTGTTTGACATATCATTTGCATTTGATTCCGAATAGCAGCTTATTTTCCTCACTGTTGATGTGTCATCACCTGCAGGATAATGATAGTAGTAGAAGCTGAATTACAGACACACAACGTGCGTCAGAGCCATTCTAGTTCAGTTAAATGGACCATGTCAATTTTAATTGAAAATGGTTCTGATGACACTTCTATCTGAGCTCTCCACCACAAACGCCTAGTAACCATTGTTGGAGGCTGCGGACTGACAGCTCACCGTAAAAGTAAGTGTAGCCTTTCCTTTTCTAATATCACATACTATCAGACTGAGATTGAGATTTAACCCGCTTATTAAAGTTGTCTTCTATCAGTTTAGCCTTTTTAGAATTTGTTAGCTATTAGTTTTAGTTTGTATGACATTATAAGAATGGAGGACATTAAATCACACACAACTAGAAAATGTGAAGAATGACACAAAAGAGTCTGTAGAGTTCCATTGTGGTCCTTGATGTAAAGATGCAGGAATCTAGTTGTCCCTAACCTAAATTATCATTGATAAAATTACTGCATCCAAAAAATGTATTATAAAATATTACAAACACATTACAACCAGGATGGTTAGTTTACACTTTCCATAAGCCATCTATTTAAAATGTAATAGTTACTTATTCTTTTAATGTGCAAAAGGTAACCATTTCCTGGCATCACCAAACCTAAAGGAACAGTTATAAACCTCAGTCAGCAATACCAGCTCTAGTCTGGTGGACACAAGTTCCTCTAACTGTCTGAGGTGTAACTGCAGTGTAAAAAAGGATTTTTGTGGGTGGTAAATATAAACCATGCAAATTGTATAAAATTGACCACATTATTCTAGTTATCAAAGAAACTATAAAACAATGGGTAAATTATACCTTCACTACCCATTTTTTAACAGTAACAAGTGTTACATGGAAAAATAGGGTAACATTTACCCAAATGCAACCGGTTCTACTCTGCGATGTGCGCATGCATCAGACCTGGATGAGCGGGATTAGAATTTGTGAAGGATGCGTGCTGCTTCCCGCTGCCGTCTGAACTCAAGGTAAACTCACTTTAATCTTTTATGTGTTGCTGTGTACAATATCGCGAATGCATAGGACAGTTTAAGAATTGTCGAGTTGTTTCACAAGAGTTGTAGTCGGAGTGTTTCTGTGTTACGTGCCATGCATGCTTGAACCGAAAGTTTGAATCGGCGACAGCGCCGGTCGTTCACTGTCTAACGTCGGGATAAAACGCTGGAAATAACAGTCGGTAAGTAGGGTTTGCGGTGAAATTTGTTCGCGTTGTGTATTTTACAATATTAGCAATCATACCGTTGTGTGTGTTTGCTGTGCAGAGCCTCCACAGTGTGTTGATGGAGAGCAGTGTAGGCCTACTTTCCGCGCATCTTGTTAACATTCATTTCTCTTTAGTCATCCGCTAAATATATTTTCTAAATATATCTTTTCACTCTCAAGTGGTTGTCGATGTTCTAAAAGACAGCATTAAAGAGTCATTTACAGTGAAGTTCTCCTCTTCCTCTCCTCTCTGATCCCCTTCTCTCCTCTCCTCTCCTCTCTGATCCCCTTCTCTCCTCTCCTCTCCTCGCCTCTCCTCTCCTCTTCCTCTTCTCCTTTCCACATTGCATCATGGAAAATCTAGATGTACCAATTGTGGAATGTTGATCCTTATAATGTCACCTACTTTTACTGAATTGCTGATTAATACAAAATAAACTGCATGAGTTGAAATAAATTCCTTTGACAAGATGATAAGACTCAAATGTATTGGAACATCACCTCATATCATATATTTCAATTAAAATGTATATGTTTTTTGTTTTTTTCTTTTTAACATGGAGGACTGCACAAACCAAACCATTAAGGTCATTGTGATCCATGATGTCATGGCTGAGGAAGATCCAGCAGAAGTGGCCATTGTCATCGAGGACACCAAGTGCTGATTGGGTGTGGAAATCGAACCAAGGCATGTGTGCTGCTCATGGGATTGATCTATGCCCTCAACCTTGAGTATCCCAAGACACTGAAAAATACCTTGGAAGTATTCCAGAAACTTTTTCTGAAAAGGCCACAGCCTGAAAAGCAACTCATGGAATGAACTGTTTATGTAAAGTCTCTCCCTTCCTCCCCCCCCCTCCCCCCCCCCCTCTTTTCCTCCTTTCCCCCTCTCCCCCCCCCCCCCCCCCCCCCCCCCCCCCCCCTCCCCTCCTCTCCTCTCCTCCCTGACCACAGCCTCAAAAGCAAGCTCATGGAATGAACTGTTTATATGAAAGTTCTGGCATATCTGACATTTCCCCTCTTGTTCTAATGAGGTTTTTCGTTCATATAATTTCAGAAACTTGCTTCATATACATAGCATTCTGCAGAGCATAGCACTTAGTTTTTGTAGATGGACACAGTTGGATGGGGTTGTGTAATTTTTAATTTATTTTATTTTATTTGAGCAATCCTAAATACTTCAAGCAAGTAAACATGTTTTGTCTATTTGTTCAGGAACAACATGGATTATATATTATTACATGTTATTATAAAACAGGTGTTTGAAATGTTTTGTGATCCTGCTGTGCAGAACGTTGCATATTATTTTAAAACTTTTGAACACTTTTGAAGGTGCTTCATCTCTCCCATGCTCTACTCTTGTTCCCTGTAGCAATAATTTATCCTCAGGTGGAAATATTTTGTGATACAGTTGTTCCTTTGCACATTTGAAACTGTTGTTCTCATGGTCCACGTGTTTTTTATGTGGTTGAATAAAAAACATAATCACTACAACATCATCACTGTCTGACAGTAAGTTTTTGGGTAAATCTTACCTTCCTTGAATAAGTAACAGTTAATTACTCATATTAATAAATTTTGAATAGTAATTATTAAGTAAATACCTATTAAGAATCAAGGGTTAATATTACCCAATTTTAATGAGTAATTAGTTGTATTATATTTGTATAAGTATTTTATAGCTTTTTTTGATTTAAGGTAATCTTTACCCAAAATATGGAGTCAAATCTACCCAAACAAAGTGAGTGCAAATTGTTACCTCAGTTTTATTGGGAAATTCTATAGATTGTTCATTACAGTGTAGGACTGCTACTATCAACACTGTAAAAAAAAAAAAAAAAAAAAAAGCCCAATCGTGTATTGAGCAAAAAAAAATCAGCCAATGGGGTAAGGCAATTTTGCTTGGCTAGAATTCTTAAAACTAGCATAAAAATAAAAATCTCAAAAATGGAAAACTCAACAGCTGCTTCATTTACTTTCTCTTAAACTGAGTTTAAGTTGTGCAAGTGGTCTTCCTCTCAATATATAGAAGATAGAAGACAATAATCTTCTATCTGGGATTGGAACCATAGTGAAGTGGTTATATCTAGCTCAGTATTAGCTGTAATATCCCATTAAGACACAGTTAGATAGATTTTCTTAAAACCAGATTCATGCAAAACATGCTGGACAAGATTATTTCTTTTTAGACAAAAAATAAGACTATTTTGCCAGAAACAAGGCTTTTTTACTTTCTTGAGTTTCCTTTTTTACAGTGAATTATTTCCGTTATTTATTAATCTGTCCATCATTGTCTCAGTTAGTTGTTTGGTCCATAAAATGCTGAAAAATCAGTGTTTCCCAAAGCCAAGGTGACGTCCTCAAATGTCTTGTTTTGTCCACAACCCAAAGATATTCAGTTTACTGACATAGAGGACTAAAGAAACCAGAAAATGTTTACATTGGAGGAGCTGATATCAGAGAATTTAGATTTTCTTTCCTTAAAAAATGACTCAACACGATTAATCAGTTATAAAAATAGTTGCTTAGTGATTTCATAGTTTACAGAAAATCCTTAAATCGACTAATGGTTGCAGCTCTAGTGGTTACTTTATGATAAACGCTGCTAAGCTTTGTGCTCTTTGTCTTCCAGTGAGTGAGGGGTTGAATGGCACTGTGTTCACAGAACGTTCGTGGCCAGAGGCACAGAAGTGGCTGCTGGTGGCCGTACTGGGACTGGAGATGGTCATGGGAGTTGTGGGAAACTGTCTTGTTCTGCTGGTCAAAGTCATGGTAAGGTGGTAACTAAGGTTGTTCCTCATACTGGTAGGACATTTTATCCATGTTAGTTGTGTAAGATCATAAAAGGCAATGGTTGAGATGAATTCATGCAATTTCAACATGCAGTATGTTCTTTTCTTCTGTCTTGTATTTACAGTGCAGGGGTCAATTCTGCTGTCGTTATTGGTTTCCTTTCATCAGTCTCACCTTGTCAGATTTCGGTACAGCTTACACTGACACCAATGCTAGTGCATTACAGGATTATATTGTACATTATTTTCTTGGAGTATCTTACTATCTCTCGGCTCACCTGATCATTTGATTCTAGTCTTATAACACATTCTTCACAGCGTTTGATATCTAATCTCTGAGAGCAGGAAGTCATCATTTCTGATAATGATACTGTGCTGTCCAGGGTGCTCCCTCCTCATCATCTCCGGCTCCCTTTTGGCCATGTTGACGGGAGGTCAGAGGTCACCATGGTGTGAGGTCGTCAGCCTGCTTAAGTTTGCCTTCATCACCTCCTCTATAGGGAGCATAGGTACTGTACAGCTCTTTTGTTAAGATCTATTGTTAGAAATGGAATATAACATTCATCGGTATGTTTTCATTCGTGTATAATTACCTGATTGTAGGAATCGTTGTTTTTCGTTACCGTAAATTGAGCCGTTTTTAACTACAGAGGGAGCGGGTCCTCTTCTACTGAGTCCACCATGTTTCTACAGCAGCCCAGAATACCACACACTGGCTCTAGATAAGGCTTTTTGCATTTTTGGAGGTTTCGTGGCTGCCATAGTTTCTCCGACACCTTGAGGATTGAGCTGTATTCTAATGGTTGCCTTTTTAACCCTTTAAGATTACCAATCAGCCATAACTCTGTGAGCACTGACAGTGAATAACACTGATTATCTGGTTATCATGGCTCCTGTCAGAGTGGGGATACATCAGGCAGCAAGTGAACATTTTGTCCTCAGAGCTGATGTGTTAGAAGCAGAAAAAATGGGCAGTGTGAGGATCTGAGAGACTTTGACAAGGGCCACATTGTGATGGCTAGACGACTGGGTCAGAGCATCTCCAAACCTGCAGCTCTTGTGGGGTGTTCCTGTCTGCAGAGGTCAGTACCTATCAAAAGTGGTCCAAGGAAGGAAAAGAACCGGAGACAGGGTCATGGGGGGCCAAGGCTCATTGATGCAGGTGGGGAGCGAAGGCCCTGTGTGGTCCGATCCAACAGACGAGCTACTGTAGCTCAAACTGCTGAAACAGTTAATGCTGGTCCTGGCCCAGGTGAGGCACCCTGGTATTTGGCACTTGATTCGACCAGTTCTCTTTGCACCCAGAAGATCTGATATGTGAAGGTAACATTAAGGGCGTTTTCACACATACCACATTTGGTCTGGACCTTCGGACTTTTCAGTTTGGTCCGAACCAAAATTGTAGGTGAGAAAGGTGCCACGGACCACGGTCCCGATCAAAAGACCAAATTTTATCCGAACTAAAGAGGTGGTCTCGGTCCGGATCAAACTGAACCATGGTTCGGTTCGTTTACAGTATGAAAACACTTTTTGGATGGTTCGGACTTTCGGACCAATTACAGGAAGTTAGGCATACGTACCATAGAAGAAGAAGAAAAAAAACGGAGGAAAACCCCTGCCAGAACGCGAATTTACGAATCCTACTATGGCCACGCCAAGTCCCGCCCTATGCCTACCTCTGATTGGCTGAGCTCAATGAGGAAGTACGCTACATTCTCGCGTGTGCTGGTACGCCGAAACACTACCAAGGAATATATGTTTCTTATTCTTTTTACTTCTGACAATCATGCTTTTAGCACTAAATGTAATATCATAATCTATGCCATATTGCGTTAACAGACTATCAGTAGCCTAATAACCACTCTCAGAATGACCATAATATTGATGACAGAATTCCTACAGTATACATGTCCTATACATAGCCTGTATTGTAGCTATTGGGATAAGTTATGTTGAATACATGCATACATTAAACAAAAATGTCGTCTTTGACACATACGCCTGCCATTAGTGTTGATTGACTACTTTTGTAACTTTAGAAGATTATTATTATCTAGCTATTAATATCTCTAATTAGAGTAAAATACTAGTCTCCTGTCAGTAATGCTGCTAGCAGCTAATAAGCTATGGTGGTAAAGGCTACGGTTGCTGCAAACGATGTTAATATACGTCTTTTATGGTTGTTTCATTTTTATTAGCAATATTAGCGTCTCCTTTCTTGAATTTGTTTCTTTTAGTTTCTTCTCCCCGCGTAGCGTTGTAGTCTAGAGACACACATTTCAAACTGCGCTGTGAACGTCGGCAGTGCTGGAGGTGTGTTGAAGCGCGTAAAGGGCGACGTGTAAGTTTAAGCCAATCAGAGGTAGGCATAGGGCGGGACTTGGCGTGGCCATAGTAGGATTTGTAAATTCGCCGCCAGAATAAGCAAAAATGAGTCGTGGAAGTACGTGGGGAGAGGAGGAGATTATATGTTTATGTTGGTAGTAATACCATAATAACGCAATCGGGATTTGCTCATTCATTTTCATTCATACGGAAAAGACTACCCGCCAAAATGACAACACGCCAACGTCAGACGCAAGCCCGTCTACTCACCAATCAAAGGGAGACGCAACACACGTACGTGGTGACAACACGCCGTAGGTATGTCATGGAAAGTTCTTTAGTGCGCTAGCAAAATGACTATGTGAAACCGAAAATAACGGGATCAAATGTACACAATGTAATGAAATACCAACGCTGGTCCGGACCTTGGTCCAGACTTTTAGGTGTGAAAACGCCCTAAGAAAACACAGCGAACTTGTTGACCCAAGCTAAGACTGAAAGCAGCATCAATCCATCTTGATACTCTTGTTAACAATAGCCTCTGATGCACCTACCTGCTTTACTCAAATACAGCTAGATTCTTGCAGCAGTACTACAGTAGTAGCCATAGCAATGGTGTATTAGTGCCATTATAGTAACAGTCCCATAATTCCTTTGATGTAGTCATTTTGCAGATTTCTTTTTTCCTTTACAGCTATACTGTGTGTGCAGCGGCTGATTGGTATGGTCTCCACAAAAAGTGCTCCCTTTGTTTTCATGATGACAGCATGCTTGGCTTCTTGGGTGACAGGGGTGGTGTTTGGGAGTGTCCCTGTTGTCTACGCCTGGATCAAGTATGTACAATAGTTTACTTGATGGTTTCCATCAATGATGGTTAGTGTTCCATGTTGTTTCTACTCTGTTCGTCTTCATTATCCTTCAGGTACGACCCTGCAGAGATGCTGTGTGCTGTCTTTTGGGAGAGCAGCTACTCAGACATGTTGGTCTACATCCTATGTGCTTTCTCCATCTGTATCTTCCTCCCTTTCCTCCTCATCGTCTTCTGCACTCTACTGAGTGCCAGCAGCTGCCGCTCCAGCTGCAACAGGTAAACCATCCGAGAATGACACTGTTAATGCCAAGGGACCTAAAATGTTATTGTTAAGAGAGGGACCCAGGTCAGATTTAGTCCAGTGATCCTTTATTTGCTATTGATTTGGCATTGAACTGTGTTGCGCTCAACTTGGTATCACGCCAAAGTGTGTAATTTACGTTGAGTCACGTTTTCAACATGTTATCATTTTGCGGTCAAGTTACAATAATAAATATGCAACATCCGCCTAGACTTTCAAAATAAAGCTTGCTGAGTAAGGTCAAACCTGAAAACTATTGTTAGTTGCAACTCTAGACTTGACACCTTTGACAAGTAAGATAGGAGTTGAGATGTCCTTGGAGTTTAAGGAATGGCCTCTGATACTATGACTAAACCACCTAACACAATACCTCCCTCCATCATACAGAAATACCTGTAGTATGTATTGAAAAAGCTACAGTGTAAGGCTATGCTATACTAAGCAGGCTTGCCCAAGTTAAAGTAATAGTTCAGGTTTTTTACGTGGGGTTGTATAAAGTTACTCACAGTCAGTGTATTACCTACGGTAGATGGAGGTTAGCACACCCCCAGTTTGGAGAAGCAGACGGGAGAACCAGCACAGAAGCCATAAGCAATATACTGCTGTGGAGGGGGGCAGGGGAAACTCGGTTTAAGTGTACGTATATTGCGAATATTTTCTCTGCTTTACCTTTCCAATGGTAAACTGAAACGTTGATCTATGCTCTCTTCAAAGCCACCAGACTCCATCTTTTCACCTCGCTGAACACAATAGCTGCTGGTCCACCGCTGCCTCGATTGGTTAGGTTGTTGTACAAGTTGGTTCGGATCCAAACTGACGTTAGCTGCTTCCACTTACACTGATATGGTTATAGCTTCTGTGCTGGTACTCCTGTCTCCTTCTCCAAACTGGGGGTGTTCTGACCACCGTCTACTGTGGGTAATACACTGACTGACTGATAAGTACCTCATACAACCCCACTTCCATCAATGTGAACTAAGCCTTTAAGAAAGGAATTCTCTTTGCGTTAATGAAGCCAGTGTTCTTCCCTCTCTCTCTCCATCTTGTTTCCTGTCTGTCTCAGTGATGATGATGCAGATCTGTCTGCAATCACTCCTCTGCTGGTGGCCTCCTACACGCTCTGCTACACTCCCTTTGTTGTGTCTGAGGTGACACTCACTACTTACACACACGAAACAACACATGAGCCATTGTATCTGCATGCACACAGAGTGAACACAAACTTGTCCACTTACAGACTGTCTATTTCTTCCTCTACATTGACCAATCAGCTGATCCTGCTGGGCAGGCTGGACCTGTCACCGGCGCCTGATTGGTTAAGGACCCTGTCATCGGTGATGTCATACCTGGACTGCAGTCTGAACCCTCTTATCTACTGTTCCCATCAGGACTTCCGGGAGGCGGGCCTGGCCCTGCTGTGGACCAATAGGAAAGCACCGTCAGAGCCCGTCCTCACTGCTATCACCAAACATGACCTGTGAACATGTGAAGGGCTCCACATTTATTCTACTGAAATTTCATGAGAAGCCAACAATGACACATCTCAAAAGCATCCACATTTATCTTACATCAGTATGTAACTACTGAAATTAAAGGTCTTTGTCTTCTTAATGTGCATACAGTAATATACTGTATATTCTAACTGCTATGTTTGGTTTCCGTCCAATTTTCCCCTGGAAATGTTTCAATTAAAGTTCTATCAGAACCTTTTCAACATGGATTTAAATCATAAAGACCCAGCTGAGGAGGTTTTTTATACCTGTTTTCACTTTTTGAAACAAGGATGTAGTGTGCAACCAGGGTGTCAACTGCAGGGGAGCCAGGGCGAGCTCAGCTCCTCTTAAATAAGACATGAGCTCCCCTAAACGCATGGTTTATGAAATTTTGGGAGGTCCCTCAAAGACAATATCAGCCCCTCCAGGATTTTGCTTATTTTGGGATTGTTGCAGCCTAAAATGCCTGATTTCACAGCAGCCTTTCCAGAAAATTGCAAAGCATGCAGTAGGATATATTATATATTTTGTATAATTAATTAAAAATCTAAACATGCGAAAAAATTCCCAATTACCAAACCCCCAAAAATGCGAGTCGTAGCAACCCATTCTTAGATGATTGCAAGAGTACAGGTTGCTGACAGTAATATGACAAAATATAATGAACACAGATGTGACAATACGCCAGGGACCACCGGGGCCAAGCATTAATACCACGTAAGGCGGTATGGAAAACGGTAAAAGATCCAACACAACAGGGTTACGATCAATAACCGGATAATGCAATTTTCATTTTATTTAGGAAAACGTGATAGGAGAAAACACACCACCAATGCAAAGATTTCAGTAAAAAAGGGGTGTCCAACATCACAGCCCCATTTACAACACGCATCCAACGGTTGGGGTTTAAACCAAGGGAACCCATCAGACGTCACCCATTGGTTGGAGCTTGAAGCCGCAAATCTCGTTTGCCGTCCAGACAGTGGACGAGCCAGCAAACACCAACCCAGGACAGGAGCCACTAAGTAGAATATACGAGATTGCATTTTATTCTCGTCTAGTAGGTTATTTTAAATGATTTAATACCAAACCTTTACATGTACTGATCATTCCTGAGAGAAGATAGATAGGGTAGTAACAGCAATTCATTAGAAAACAGAATGACAAGATGGTCAGTTTACAGTATCTCAGTGGGAACATAGAAGTGCACAATAGGTAAAACCCCAACATGACTGTTTGACAGATACAAAAGAGCCACAGAGTGGGGAATGATCATTTTGCATTACAAATTTAATTTTGGGGCAGCAGTAGCTTAGTGTGTAGGGACTTGGTTTGGGAACTGGAGGGTTGCTGGTTCAAATCCAACAGACCACAATATGGAGTGTGGACTGGTCTATCTTATCTTTAATTTTCACTTTTGAGGTCTGTATCAAACAGGTTTTCTTACATCTGGAGAACAAGATTTGTGGGCCAGGGAAAATTTGCAACACTACAGTACTTCATTATAATGAATATATATGACTTAACTTTTATCAAAAATGTGCAGCTACTTGCGATTGGCATATTGCACTTGGCCATATTATGATTTTGATAATATTGCGATTAATTGTGCAGCCCTATAGTGCATGAGGTCACCAACTCATTAGCTGATAAGCATGGCCCTCAAACATTTCATTTGTAAGATATCTGAAAGGCACACGTCTACATCATGTCAATTTATCCCATGTGAACTGTCCTAAAACCTAATTTGTGAAATTGTGCATCACAAGCTCCATCTCTGTGCTCCATCATGTCGGGTCCATCAAGTTTAGCTTTATCCTCAGATATGGCGATCAACACAACTTCACATTCACAGAAACATCACAAGATTTAGTACATGACACGAGCAGCATTTAAATGTAAATGTCACTTTTTATGGTCAGGCACTCATCTATACAGTTTCAGACACAAATTCAACCACAAACTCAGAACAGATGCAGCAGATGAGACATTGGTCTAGTAACATTACCATCATCAAGCAACCACAAGCCTACAGATTGTACAAAATTACATAATCACTGATTATAAAACATTTTTTATTTCAGTTATTAGGATGGGTTGATTTGGCTAATTGTTGAGTACACTCAGACACTTACTAACTAACCGAGTCCAAGTTCTTCTGGATCTAAATCTAGTCAATAGGTGGGGGTGGGACTTGGAATAGCTTGCTACACAATGTCACATACTCTCCTATGAGATGACAATACCAGCCATGGCCCCAAGACAATCTGAGTTTAAGACCCCTGTTCTGAATCTATCAGTTTATTTTAAAAAGAAGTGTAAAAACCTTTTATTACAGATAACTCCCATTAAGGTTTGTACTGCAGCAGATACTCAGTGGTCTGTGTTGTAATCATGATTTGGGGCTGCAGGGCCTCTGGAATATTTCAGTGATTTTAACCTGTAGTGTTTTTTGTTTTCATATGTCCATGTCCAACATTGGAATGAATCTTTGTTTCTTCTTACAGCCATTAAGAATGGAATGAATCTTTGTTTCTTCTTACAGCCATTAAGCCTATTAGGTCATGTCAAGGACCTACACAATAGATGCACATTCGACCATGGGGCTCCAACTTCAGAGGATTTTGTCTTAAGGCGTCCCTTCTGACTCATTTGTCTTATTTTTATGTGTTAAGATACTTAAGTCTTCATGGTGAATCAAGAATCAAACTGGATCATTATAAATTACAATCAATCAAGCCTATTTCTTTCATTGTTGCAACTTTCAAAAAAATTGATTAAAAAAATATATAGAAATATATTTATATATTTCTATTTAATTCTATTTCTCCTTTTGATGGGGACCCCCTTCAACCCACTCAAGGACTCATGTTGGTCAGTGGACCCCAGTATGAAAACCCTAATATAGGGCAATAGGTTTTCAGTTAATGGAGTTTATGTAAAACAAGCACATTTTGAACAGATTCTTTCTTGTGAATATCGCATTAAGGATGAGTTATCCTGATGATTTTAAACAATCTCTCATAATTAATAGGCTTTTTTTGTGGACAAATTCAATTGGCTACTGTTCTATTAGCTCTTTGGGCTTAAATCTTAAATAATAAATAATTTATTTCAATTTTCCATACAGAATTGAATGAAATGCAGAGCTACAGCCCCAGTGTGTGTTCTCAGTCTTCTTTCACCCCTTAAAATCAAGAAGGCCTTGTGACCCCCTATGAAGCTTTGGTGACCCCTAGTGGGGGTTGGGACCCACTGCCCTAATATTTGGACAAGGGTGTTAATGTGTATACATGGAGAATGTTTAGCTGGTGCTGCTTTAATATACTCCACAGAGGAATCACAGTTTAATTAAAGTGTCTCATGACTTTCCCTCACTTGCTGTTCTGTCAGTCCCGCTGTGCTGCTGTCTTCCCCTGTGTCCCCTGTGTCTTCTGGGTCAGCGAGGTCAGGAAGCAGAAGCTGAAGTGGAACTGTAACACGTCGCACACTTTGGACCAGAAGTGTCCGGTGAGCCGCTGGAAGAGCCGGTACCGAGCGAGCCAGTGGTCCAGCAGCTTCAGCAGCACGAACCCTGCACACGACAGCACCGCCAGCAGCAGGTATGCCCGCGTGCGGCCATCCCCGTGCTCCCGCTGCACGCGCACTCCCTTGTACACCGCGAGGGCAACGTGACAGCCCAGCGCCCCCTCAAAGCCCCGCTCGTGCGCCAGCGCCAAGCCGTAGCTGAGGAGAGACAGCAGCTCGAGCGCCATCGCGTCAGACGCGCGCCACTTCGCCGGCCCGCGCTCTATGAAGCTGATCCACGCCGGAACCCACGCGAAGATCGGTAACGTGAACCACTGGTCGAGCACGGCGGGAGCGCGACGCAGCACCGCCAAGCGCGTCCACTGCACAGGCGCATAGAGGACAGCCATGAAGACGAACACCTCTCTCATGTACCGGCTCTCCCGCGTTTCACCGACGCCTCCGCGCCACAGCAGCCAGTACAGCCCCATGAAGATGTACGCCATGTTCACCAGGCAGTTACAGGGCATCGCCAGGAACCCGGGCAGATAGTCGACCCTTTGCTCCGCATAGTGGTCGTAAGACAAGTCCACCTCAACTCCGTCGAACAGACTGGTGTTCGCCAGCGCGACACAGAGCACGAAGGGCACTGAAACGTGAAGCAGAGCCGACTTCATCACTGCCTGTTCTGAAACACGTCCTACAGTAGAGCTCTACCCGCTGCTGTGTTCTCTCGAAGTTTCCTCAGAGACTGGGATCAGAAGTCGGAGCGACTGTTGTTATTCCGGGTTTCAAAATCACATGTTAGAAAATGCCGGGTTTTGATTGGCTGCCTTGCCGCTCACCCCGACCCTTCTAGGTATAGTCCAAAATACGGATTTCTTGAACAAACACGCGTAAAACACCACCCTGGACTACTTGTTAGAGAAGAGTTTCTTGGAAAGCTTTCTTAACAGATAGCAGCAGTCAGAACCGCTCCGACTGCCCTCAAGCTGAGACTCCTGAATTCATCCTCAGCACTTCATCATGAAAATGTTTTAATAATCACCATAGACTGTATATGATTTTTGTATCATGCTTTTAATGAGCAGCATGAAGGGAACTACAACTTGGATTTCATTCTGCAACCCTGGGTTATAAAATGAGCATTAAATTAACCTGGTATCTGTGAGCCCACAAGAGTCCTTGATCCAGTCCCCTCTGGTTTGCTCATATATGCTAATATGATGTAACCTCTCCTCCTGAGCCAGCTGACACCTGTTTTGGTTTTAGCAGCAACTTGAAAAGACCATGGTATTGCCTCTGCTTCCAATGACGCCATATGTGGTCCTTAATCGGTACCCAGTCCCTGGCTTCAGACTGTGGATGACAGCTGTAAGATTGCTTGTAAGAAAATATCGAAAAATATCAAATTGCAGTATTTTGTTTTGTGATGTATCGATTCTCAAAAACACTGTAGTGATTTTTGTGTTAAACCCCGAACACCTAGATAGCAGTGTTGTAAACTGAAGGTTGAATTTCTCTGTGAGTAGTTTGGAGTCCGGGACGGAGAGGAACTTATTTGCCAAATCAACCAACCTTATCACAGATTTTCTTTACGGGAAAAATGGGTGTGTGGACAGGAGAATCATCACAGGGAACACTGACTCCAGCCTGTAACAATCAAAAACAGATTTAATACCTTCGAGTGCTTCTTGTTTGAGTGGATATTGTTTAATGCAGAGGCAGAAATCAGATTTCAGGTGAACCACCAGAGGTGTGGCACCCTTTATCCATGTCTACAGGTAAATGTTTAACCATGGTGTGTGAAAAAATGCACAACAGGAATGAACTCAACACTTCTTTTAACAAGAGCGGTCGATGTAAAAACTGTCTTCTATACAATGGACTGTATTTGTATAGCGCCTTTCTAGTCTTACAACCACTCAAAGCACTTACATAAACCTCTTTGCTGTACAGCGTCTTGGGTTGTCCAGTTTGGCTGTGTCAAAAATACGGGTCACAGGAACCCTGTGGTCCACCATGACCGCCTCTGCCACGTCCTCTGGTCTGGCCGCCCTCTTGTTCCATGGAATACAGCTCTTTCTTACTTGAGCAGCAATTTCTGGTTTCATCTGACCCAGGAAATGTTCTTTCAGCTGAATAGCATAGGGCTCCAGTGGGCGTGCCATATTACACCTCATGTCAGACCACTGGGAGGATCAAAAGCAATAGTCTTCTAGAATAGCTGGAGTATTTTGTGAAAGTCATTCTGCTCATTTGTCTTCTGAGTTCAGGCACTGTGGGTCTGTTTCCCTGACAAACTGCCCCAACGGTGTAGTCGAAATTGTCAGTTGAGCCATGGCCTCAACAATGTCCTGTTTTGAGTGCGGTCTGAAAACTAAAACTGGACCTTCTTGTCCCGGTGCTTCCTACATTGGCAGTACATGGACTTGGCTTCGGGAGGGAGAATCCATGTCTTGTATTACTCTTCCTCTTCTCTCCATGTACGGTTATCTTTCCAATATGTTTTAAATTGTTTATTTTTCATTTGCTGCCCACTGGACATGGTTGCATAGTCCTCTGCATCTGTCTGTTTGTTAGTCTTCAAACATGTCTTAAGCTCGTCCTGTTCTTTTAGACTGAAGCTTCCATACCCACTTATCAAATTGTTTCATTGATGCTTATCTTTTTAGTTATTTATTTTACAATTGGTAGATGGATTTTAGGACCTGTTTCCTCCAGACTTTTACTCTGACTTTTCCCTATCTCTGATGATATTGTCTCTTGTATTTACACAATATTCTGATCCACTTGTTAGGCAGATACACCAGAAAATGATCTCAGGACGGGAGAAAAGGGAATATAACAATAGAATGTAATCTAACCTTTTGTAGGCAGCAAAGCAGGTTTCTCACACACAAATGTTTCATATAAAAGTGTACTTCAGGTCACAGGTGTACTGAGAAAATTACATGGGCTCATAATAAAATGCACAACAATACATGATAATAGGAAACACACAAGGAATGGTACATTTTGCTTCAGCAGTTAATAGTTAAATAACATCCAGTTTAAAATTAATTCAAATGAACAAATGTGGAACATAAGTCGTAGTGTTGATGAAGGGGTACGTGAGCTCACTGAGCTGGGCTGTGTGGGTACGTAGAAAAAGAAGTTTGAATGTATTACAGATATTCAGTCATTTTCCCTTGCACTCACCTGTTTGGGCAACAGTTGCTGTCTCTCCTTGTACAATTTCTTTGTTTCAGCCACTACAGATGCCCAACCTCCCCCTTCCTAACACAAGATACCAGGTCCTTTTGTGTTTTTTATATTGTAATGTCTAGACGCAACTTTGCACATAAATACAAGATCCTGCAGGATACCTCAGATGTAAAACACATCAACGGGGGGTCGGCACCGATACCTGCAATAGACAAAAGGGAGTGAAAACACTTCCTGGAGGGGCAGACCCCTGCAGCAGACAAAGGGATGTGAAAGAGGTGTTCCTCAGGTATAAATGTTTAGGTCTCCCCATGCTCGAGGTCTTTCTTCATCTTTGACCATTCGCGTGTTGATTGACCTTTTCTTTGCAAAGAAACTAAAACCTTGTCGGCCAGCAGAAGTTCTCTATTTCATTCTTCACCAGCAGCACAGAAATTCACAACAGGATAGCCAGCTTTAAGGTGCTTTATCAGGTTTGATCAATTGTTCCTTTTTTCCTGGTCAGAGCACCTGTAGTTATTTGCAGTCAAACTCCTTACCAGTACCTGTAGTGACGTAGAATAGTTTGATTCCTGAGAAAGCACACGAGTCATGACAATAACCATTGTTATTACATGATGTGTCATTGTTCATACACAGACATGTCTACTCTGCTCACTAGACCCCTCCCTCACTGCGCCCCAGCCTCAGGAAGAGTGGCTTCCAACTTTAAAGCTCTCCCCTCTCTGAGGGGTAACATCAAGAAAAAGAGCAAGAGGAAGAACTGGTTTGTCAGTTAATGATGCTATGCTCTGGGCACAGAGAATGAGGAAACTGAGACAGAAGGAAGGAGGGATCAAAATACAAAGGCTGGAAAACATAAGGCAGCATAAAATCGCAGCAGAGGGACAAAGATAGAGCGACCAAGGAACACACACAAAGAACCTGCCATTAAGAGAGAGAAGTGGTAAGAAACTGCACCTTATCAAAAAATACATTGATACAGTGAGGTAAACTGGTTAAATATGAATGATGTTGGGAGATTCAGCTGTTGCTGTAGCGATTAGCTACATTTTAACTGCTTAATATTCTGTTTAATCTGTAAAAACACATTACAAATTCACTTTATGTTTTCTTTATAAAATCTATGTGTGAAGTAACTAACTTGTAACTATAATTGTCACATAAATGTAGCTGTTGACTAAGAAGCACGATATTTCTCAATGAAATGTAGTGGAGTAGAAGTATAAATTAGCAGAAAACAGTACTCAAATAAAGTACCAGTACCCTAAAATTGTATTGTATGTAACTTGAGTAAATGTACTTAATAATTTCCACAACGGGATCTAATATGAGGTATTAACAAATACTGAACATACATATAGGCAATGCTGTAGATCAGAAAGATATAAATGAAAAATATCCTGTTAATGTGGGATGTTACATTATGCACCTGAAATAAATCAGTGTTGACTTTTGATTTCATGTGATGGCCAGGTAGTAAGCAGAGGTTAAATGAATTGTTAAAAAAATCACAATCGTGTCTTCAAACTGGAACAATCTGGAATAACATATCATAATGGTGGTACTTGGAGAGCCTGATATTTTCTGAGGTAGTACGTGCTGTGAAAAATGTGAGAAACATTGGTCTAGTCCATTTACAGGTCTTTTATACGCATTGGCATGAGACTGGGCTGCATTATGCTTTTGCTTTGTTGTTAGTAATATGTGTTATATGGATAATATGTTTTGTCTCTCTCACATTGGATACTCTACACAGAAAAAGTCACCTGCACATTAAATGGATACATGCTCAAAAATTCTCCCTGACAAGAAAAATCTAAACACTGATAATGACCTCACACACAGGCTTTGGTCACACTCAGAGTACTGCTGGACACAACCACATACGCTCAAACAAGTTGCCCACATACTGGCTCTGCACCATGTCAGATCCAAATCTAGATATTTGTACTTCTGGGAGATTGAAGGGTTCCACCTCTGCTTTTATTCCTCAAGTGGGTGATGCAAAAGCACTGATTCCTCCCCCACTACCTCTCAAACGCCACCAGAGGTCACCTGAATTTGAGACAACTTTAAGCCAGGGCCCACAACTGAAAGCCTTTAATATAGAGAGCTCACTGGCATGTCAGACTTCTCTTGGGGAAGTCCCAGGGGAAGTACATGACATTCACAGTAGCCGCATATTTGGAATTTTACCAAAAGTGGAACAAAAATGCCACAAAAATGAACAAACACAGTTTGCTCCAAGACCTCCTCTTACACCACCTATAAAACCTCCACGGCCTAATAAGCCAAAAAAGGCTGAGCTAGAGGAAGAAAAGACAGGAGACAAGAAGAACAGGCATGAGCAAGAGCTGATGGAAAGAAATGAGAATACAGAAGAGAATGAAGAAACATCTAAAATAGAAAGTCATCTGCACGTAGGTAAACCTCCACGGCAGATCTTAGTAATATTTACAGAATATCTACGGGAGAAAGGTGGAGAGGACAGGGGAAAGGAAGATAAAGAACCTAATAATATTGAGCTGACCACTACCTTGACAGAAAATTCATTCCTGCTAGCAATGAAAGGCTCAGACCTTACCTCAGATGAAGAACCTGACATGGCAGCAACAAACAGAAAGTCTATAGTTTCAGTGAAACAAGAACCAACAATTCCACCACAGCCTCCTCCAAAGACACATCAGAAGTGTCCCCCAAAACCACCAATCAAACCTCTACAGCTCTTCAGCGCCATGAGGTCCAGGATAGAAGAGGAAACAGAGAGTAGGAAGCAGGTGGATGAATGGTTAAGAGACAATGGCTTGGTGGACAAAGAAAGGAATGAAGAGGAAGACGAAGGAAAGGATGGAGGAAAGGTAAATGTAGATACAGAGTCAATGACACCAACCATGACAGAAATGCCTTCCCGACCAAAAGAAATAGTAATGAAGTCCATCCCCAAGTCTTCAGTGTATCAGGAGGTGGAACTGCCAAGAGCAGGGCAAAGATTTTGTCTCATGCCCCCTTGTAGAAACAAACCGTCAGAAATCACAACTGAGAACAAAACTCTTCATCAGTCTCAGCTCCCAGGGAAACAACACCTGAACCATGCAGATGGACAAGTCCATCCTGGTCCTCTTCCACAAAAGATTCCTATTCCTGTCCCATGGGTACAAGACTCTGAAGTAATTTCTAAGTTGCCATCTGGACATCAGGAAGGGACAGAGGTGGTGGGGTCGAAGTTGGATCCACATCAGCTGGATGCACAGGAAATTGCTGAGATGCTTTTGGATGGAGAACTAAAGCAAACAAACCAGAAGACCAATGCAAGAGGAAAGGTGAAACAGCTTGCCAAGAAGGTGATCGGTAGATTGAAAGAGGGACGAGAGGACAAAAGAAGAAGCAAAGCGCTAGAGATGGAAATAGATGATACTGAACTGACACAGGTATGTTTCACTTAAATTACTTCTAAAAAACATGTCACCCTCTTTCACCTTGAAACTTGTATTTTGTCAGGGAAAGCCAGTAACTTTCTGCAATGTCTGGCTTTACATTCTCAGTTATGCAGAGTCATACCAACATCAATACAACCTCAGCCTTATGGTTACGACACCTTCCATTTTCTCTACTGTTGGTAACCAAGCAGTTCTACAGGAACATGTAGGGGTTTTGTGCCTTAGATCAGGGGACACTGTAAATGTAAACATTTCACTCACCACATCTATTGTATAGATTTGAGTTTGTGTTTGAGTCAGACTTCAGACCCCAAGTAATTTCTACTGTTAACTGGAGTGCTACTGTCTGGAAGTATAAAATAGTTGCCACCATGGTAACTTTACAGTATTTCTCAGATAAATATCTGTAAATATCTACTACTCAGTAGACAGTACACAGCCTTCCTTGATTGTATTGAACTGTTGTTGTATCTGAAACAACACGTCTCCATCAATGCAGCCCTTTGCATTTTTTTAAGGGGGCTGCCTGACAACATACCCCAAGTGAAGGACGAGTGAGGGTACAATAGTGTGGGAGATTGGCCGGAGAATCAGGGCAGCAAGGGCGGTATTGCAGTCGCTTTATCACACTGTTGTCACAAAAGGATATCTCGATCTCCCGGTTGATCTTTGTTCCTACCCTCATCTATGGTCATGACCAAAAGAACAAGATCACGTGTACAAGCCTGAGGAAACGGGTTTCCTCAGGAGGGTGGCGTATCCCTTGGGGACAGGGTGAGAAGCTCGTTCAGCCGCGAGGGACTTGTAGTAGAGCCACTGCTCTTTCGAGGAGCCAATTGAGGTGGTTCAGGCATCTGGTGACTATGCGTCCAGGGCGCCTCCCGAGGGAGGTGTTCCTGCACGTCCAGCTGGGAGGAGGCCGCAGGGCAGACCGAGGAGGAGACTACAGAGTAAAACACTATGTTATTAGCTAGCGAATCAAAGCAAAGCAAAAGCAAAAAGGGGTGGGGCTTAGGAACTAATTAAACTAATTAGTTGTGATACAGTCTACAATCTGTAGTTTAACTCTTGAAAAATAAAAGCTTCTTTTACATGCATATTATCAAGGATGAAAAGTGGCATGGGGAAGAAGGAGGAATGAAGGATGAGGAGAAAGAGGAAGGGAATGATGCAGTTACTGTGGACCAATCAGCAGTGACAGAGACACAGAGCTATGCTGACCGGATGAAAGGGAGGATTGCAAGAAGAAATGCAACATCTGAAAGGTGAACACACTCTTACCTTCTCTCACTCATTTACTCACAGGTGTATATACATTCAGTTCATCTAGTGTTAAAAAACATTGAATTCAATGGGCATCAGCCTACCAAGGTACTGACGCAAGCAGAAGAAAAGTAGTTCATTTTATTGCTTGTTTTTATATCGTATATTATATTTAGTAGTCTATTTTCTTCAATGTATTTAACATTGTTCCTTGTTAAAGTTAAACATATAAAGTAGTAACCAGTCATGTTTCTATTACAGTTAAAAAAACACCTTCAAATACAATTACTGAATCAAATGAATGAAATAAATATATTCTGGTATATTAAGGATAAAGATAGTGCCCTAGTATCATACACCCTACTATGTTAAAATCCCACTTGTATTTCCTTGCCAAAACTTCCTCCTTTGTCTTTCTCTTAATCACACACACACACACACACACACACACACACACACACACACACACACACACACACACACACACACACACACACAAGTCTCAAAGTCCTCGTCTTATCACAGGCGTATTATATTTCACGGAGAGTCTGGGAGTTTGCATCGTTCATCAGGAAATGATAGTCATACTCGTCTCACTTCAATATTGAATTTTTTTTCTTCTCTCCTTCTTACTTTCTCTCTTCCAACTCCCCTCCTCTCCACTGCTCCTCCTCTTCCTGATTCCCTCTCTCCCATGCTCCTGTCGCCTATTCTTCCTCCCTCCTCTCTCTGTTCTCATACACTCACACACACACAGACATTATAGCATAGTTTGCCTGTGAATGCAGCTGGGAATTCTGCTTCTCAGATCAAATAAATTCATCATCATTGTGTTGTGTGGTAAAAAAGTGTGCACATTCGGGAGTGGCAATTCCGTGCACTGTGGGGCACAGTCCTTATGTGTGTGTGTTTTACTGAACAACCAACATGGTTTAATTATTAATACTGAAAATACAGAGAAATACTGCATACAGATTAGGATACAAATAGGAGCAGACACAGCCTCATTTCCCAGTTCAGCAACATTGATCATTAACCATTAGTGCATTGTTTTAAGCAGTGGCTGCTCATTACCGTAACCTGAAATTTTATGTGTGTGTAAAGTAACTTGTAACTATAGTTAAATGTGCAATATTTCCCTCTGATATGTAGTGGAAAGGAAGTATAAAGTGGCATGAAAAGATAATAAGTAAAGTACAAGTACTTCAAATTTGAACTTAAAGGACCAGTGTGTAGGATTTAGTGGCATCTAGCGCTGTGGTTGCAGATTTCAACTCACTTGCTTCACCCTCCCTTTCCAAGTGTGAGGGAAAAAATATGGTGGCTGCAAAATGCACAAAAAACTCAGATGGCCCTATCGAGAGTCAGTGTTTGGTTTGTCCATTCTGGGCTACTGTAGAAACATGGCAGCTTAATGGAAGACGTAGATAAAAAGCTCATTCTACGGAATAGAACCACCATGTTTCTACAGTAGCCCAGAACGGAAAAACCAAACACAACACAGATAGGGACATTTGAGTTTTCTACATGTTTTGTGGCCACGGCCACCTTAGTTTCTCCTTCACGCTTGGACAGAGCCAGGTTACCTTAAACACAATTAGCAAGGAGCTAATATCACTGACTAGTCCAACAGCAAGAAGGCCACTCGCCGTCTGTCTGCAGCCTTTTATTTCACAAAATGTCTAAAAGCTTGTCTCTCCGTTCTTCTCTGTAGTTTCAACATGCTCTTTGGTCTTTTCACCATTAGCTATGTCCACAAAAGCAGCTGAGCCCTATTACAATGCCCGCTCGCCCGGCTCCTGCAAAATACTACAGAAAAAGAGGACCAAGAAGACTGGGCTGCTTTTAGACAGATGGTCACTAATGCGTTCATTAACCTTATCTCCTACAAATTATGTTCATATGCAACCATTTAGCTTTGTTGGACCCTTTTAGTTTTACCTGTCAGAGATAAATATTCATATTGAACATGAAAAAGCTTTCTTGGTGTGGCTCTAAGCTGAATCCAATTGGTGATCTATCAGCAGGCAACAAAGGGTAAAAACATATTTATACAAATGGTTCCTCTACAATACTACTTGCCCTGTATTTTACACAGTCCTTTCAGCTCCTTTAAAGTCTCCAGTCCAGTGAAGCTAGTGGAAGAGCTCCTGTCGGGTGATGAGTGGTCACAGTTCCTGCACAGAGACCAGAGCCCCATGAATGACCCCCCTCCATGCCAGACACACTTGGAGGACACGGGACAGCTCAGTGCGAACTTCCAGTTAAACTCCAGTGGTGAACAGGGCCTCACTCTGGATGTGTTTGAAGGCGACCATGCTGTCCCAGAAGATCCCGTCTATGAGGATATCGACCTGCCAACTATTAACAAAGAAGAGCAGCAAACACGTGAGCAACAGGAGAACAGAGCACGCAGCACTGCTATTCCAAGTATACTGCTGGAGAGGGAAACAAATCCGATGAGTGAGTAAAACCAGGGTGGGCGATGAGTTGATGTTGGTTATTAGAAGTCAGCTAATTAGCTAATGCTTTGCTAAAAATACAAGTCTCTGTGTTCAGCACGCTGACGTTTAATGTATTAGACAACCTCTCGAGTCTCATTTAACCTTTTTTAAGAAAAGGTTCAATATTCACAGGTGGGGAACTAACTGACATATTTTATGTCGTAGAACAAAACTTGAAAATCTCTTATTGCCTGACCTTATTTCAGGCATCTAAACAAAAACCCATTCAAAATATCCATTCCCTCCCTGCTCCCTTTATATTAATAAGCCACATGAGTTGGCTGCTAGTACAGTAGCTCAGAGTTGAAGCAGGAAGTAAGCCTGTAAACTGGGATAGATGTTAAAAACGTTTGGTTAATAATTAAGTTAGATAATAATAAGTTCACCTCAGAATCGTTGGTAGCATTGTACGGTTACTGTCTTGATTCTTCCAAACAGGCCCCGGGACCAAAGACATTTATGATACAGTGGTGTTTATAGAGCCTGTGCAGCCAGTCTATGTCAAGGTTGGTGAGAGGTCTAAAACTATGGGTCAGTTCCATACCCTGAGTTAAATATCAGATCACGCTTTAATTGTCATACTCCTTTGTGTTTCTCTAACAGTCGCAGTGTGTTTTGAGCACTTCAGTTCAGAAGTACATCATCAAGCTGAGCAAGAAGAGGAAACACAGACCACCACAGAAATGGCATCGCCATAACAACCAAGGTCAGACTCTTTTCTATCATCAATCTCTGTGGAGCAGCCTACTGTCCAGCCTGGTTACTGCACATATACATTCTGAAGTTTGACACACACAAAGTAGGAAACTGAAAATAATGGAATACAATGGAATGTCATTCTATATAAGAGAATATGCAAAAATGAAATGTTGAATGTTGTTCTGAAGCGGATACCCTCAACCAGTCTACTACCTCCACCTCTCCACAAGTATTCTCCACCTCCATCTTCTACAACGTCCCACCTTCAGGAGGAGAGGAGCTGCTCTCTACAGTAAAGGTTAGTACAAGACCCATTATTTCACTATTCTGATGAACCCTTTTCATCTGATGTCTTGATCTTGTCTGTGTGTGTGTCAGCCTGGAGCAAGCAGTCCCAGTCTGGCCAAGATAAAGACCATACTGAGAGGATCATCACCAAAGGAGGACAGAGGAAAGTAATGGATGCTTAATCCATTTTATTCACAGTGTGTTCAAGGTATGGACCGCGGAACACATCTGAACAAGGGGGGGCCATAATTTCAGGTCACACGGAGGGGGTGGGGGGGCAAATGCATTGAAACAGACAATATTACTGATGTATTAAATAATGTTGCGGAGCACTTTTTTTATTCCAACACCACACAGTCACATCTACAGTACACGCATGATGAACACGCACACATGCTTGCTCGGATTAACCCCTCTGATCCCACTCTAACATTCACACAGGCCAAGTCCATTTACACATAAACGCACAGATGAAACTATAGCAAACAACAAAGTACATCCAGTCCACAACCACAACCAAAACTCATCTTGCTGCCTTGAATCTAAATCAACATCATAGTCATTATCATCACAAGTCAACACTCATATCAGACTGATGTGCACAGTCACACACACACACACGTCGTCGGAGTCCGTGGTGGAGATGGACGCTCCGGGTCTGTTGTTGAGGCCACAGTGGAAGCTGGAGTAGTTTGCTCATTTTGATTTGCCTGTTTGTAAAAAAATCGGATATTGACTTCCGTCTCTTCATTTTCTCAGGTAATGCAGCCAGCGGTTTGGCAGGTGCCCGCCGTTAGCTCGCGACGACGCTCACACATGACGTAGTTGATAAACAGTGCACACTCATTTCAAATCATAAAGCAGCAGTCAGTGGGAGTCTATCGGCAGCAGTTGGTGAGAGTGAGTGAAGGTGTGTGGTGACTGGTATTGTTTGGCTCGTAAAAACACAGATACAACTTAGGCTTTTATTCATATAAAATAGTTTGTCTGAGTACAAAAGTTACCTGGGCCATCATTCAACACCTGTCTTTACCCTACTATTTCATGTGGCTGCTGTGAAAAAGGCCTATAGGGCCCAACTTGAAACTGAAGTATTGACGCACGTTAATCAGTCAGTCGTTGATGAATATGTGATGGATATATGTTCCAGGAGCTCAATGTGCAGTAACCATGATTACTTCCTGTATATTGCACTACAGGTCTGTACCTTGTTTTTGTTTACTTTAATCTTGTTTGCACCTATGTGTGGTCTGATCACTCCCATTGAATGTTGCACTTTTTACTGTACTGCACTATATAAAGATGGGTAGCAATAGAGTCTGTCTTATCTCTTACTTCCTTATTATGTATATATTAGTCAAAGTGACATATTGTTGTTGTTACAAGGAATACTAAATGACTTCATGACTTACTGTACCATTTTGAGTTTACCCTTCTCATTACAGTTATGTAGATTCTTAAAGGCGCTGTAAGTGATATCTTTTTGTTATAATAAGTGTTAAATAGCTGTACATTCTGACAGCCATCACTGATACAGAGTGTTTACTCAGTAACGTGTCTCCGAGTCCCTCCTGTAGTAAACAGAGAATAAATGTTCTGGTATCCTGTTCCCACTTTATCCAATCAGGAGAGAGAACTCCACAAAGAGAGCTGAATGCAGTGATGTGGGGACGAGGGAGGGGACTGCTAACTGAAAGAGCAGACAGGAGCCAAAATGCCAATTTTGCTTAGAGCACCTTTAATGCTTGTAGGAATGAAAGGAGGCGACACAGTGTGTTGACTGTATGAGGAGTGTGTGTCAGTGACAGTGTCAGCATGATCCCAAATGAATGCTAATGTTGCTCTGTGTCTGCTGTATGTGTAAAACATTTGCTAACATGTTAGGCACATCAACTTAAAAGGTGATGGTATGTCAGAGTTGTTTCTGCTGCCCCCATGTGGGAAAAACAGTTATAATAATAATACATAATATATAAGCTGAAACGGGTACATTAATACATAATCAAATGCAAAATTAAATGAATAAATTGTGGTACTTGATGGGAAATGCATCACTACATAATGTAGTTGTTGTTTGTATTTTATTTTTTACATTGATTTTTTTGTCATTTCAGCATTTTTTTAACAGATTTAAAATCTGTTAAATTTGGAAGATCACATTGAGTCGCTGAAACATATCAGTTATAATAAATGTATAGAATTGATATCTATATATTATATATATTGCTATCTGAATTGCAGCTGATGCTGCTTCATCATTCAACTTTCCACCTCTCTGTCTGGTTCAGTCACCTGAAGAGATCTAAGAATAAACTTCTAGGATTGTGCCAAATAGTTCGCAAACTCCAAAAGCCCCTGACTCAACTTTTGTTTTAGAAAGGATGAGGAAGAAAGCGAGAGGCATCCTGGAAGATCCTCTTCAGGAGTCTAAGGTATATTCTAATCTACTTTTGGGAAAAGAGAAAAAGCACCTTTTTTGTTTCTCATTTTTATTAGTTACCAAAATATTACACATCATGTCCTCAAAATCATATCCATACCATATCCCCAGCAACGCTTAATAAGGTTCAAAATGCTATATACATTGATACAGAAAGGAAAGGTATGACAGCTTGCAGGTGAAGGCAAATGAAGAGCTAATGAGACTGATGGATGAGTGCATGTACAAAAGAACATGAAGTAAAGTTTTTTTAAATTTCAGTCATGATTCTGAAGCTGTGCTTATTATATTTTGTCCATATCCGTCATTTGTTTTATGTGAATGCAAAAATTACAACCGCAGATGCGACCTCAAAACCGGCTCTACAAATTATGTATATATTGATTTATTTTATTAATCCTATGTTATATGAAAATTTGATACAACCTTGTACTGTATAAAGATAAATACATTTCCTTGATTCCTTGAGATTTCAGATGTCACACACTCATTCACACAAAGTCAATGGGACAGAAGATGGAGATAACTCTATAAGACCAGGTGAACAAAACATATAAACTGAAGGATGGATTCCCACTGAAATGCTCATCTTACCTACAAAATGTCAAAAAAAATCTGTGAACTGCAATGCTGTTGTCTTCTTTACACAAATCAAAGTCATACATGTTCTTCCAAACACAAAGCCTTCAGGCTAAAGCTCAAACACATTCACAGAGAAACAAGTGCTTCCTGTTGTAGCTGACATCAAATGGACCTCCAGAGGAACTGAGTAGCAATGTTACTCTACTGTTGGAAGTTCATCTCTACAGGAAGAGAGGGTCTTCTCATGGTGGTTTTGCCGTGTTTGACCTGCCACCAGCAAGTCAAACACATCTTATTAGTACATCAGTTCAATTTCTGTCACTGCCATCCACTGTAGAGAGTCCGTCCACCTCCACAGCTTCTATCTTCTCTTGGTTCCTCCGAAACCTGACAAAAAAACAACAACAACAACCTTAGTCCACCAGCTATATTTACAGCAGGTCTCTGGATGCTAATCAACTGTTGTTAGTATCCAGAGACATTGTAACAACTAACCAATGGAAACAATCCGATCTTGTTTTGAGACAGTAGCCGTGTTTCCATCCATGTATTTTTATAAACATGTCATGCATGTCATCACTTCTCCCTGTCCTCACTATCCTGTCACTCTTCATCTGCTACTATATATTAAAGGCAATTAGAGCCCAAAAATAATCTTAAAGAAAAATGCTGCACTGAGAATGATCTATTTTGGAGTGCTGCTAAATTGTCATGAATAATTAACATAATGGAGACATGTGCAACAAGCTGCTGAGTGAGAGAACCCTTTCATTAAATTATCAATTCATACATGAATGACAGTACATCAACAGTGATTTAAATATACAAATATCAATTTGCTTCTATAGGCTATAAATCCTGCTTTTAGTTATTAGAAATGTGTAAAAGTATTATTGATGGGTTTTTCATAAATAAAGGATTATTGGTGTCATTGGACCTGTTCTAAACCAGAAGAGGGAGAGCTCAGCCTCCACTGCAGGAGGAATCTGTGATAAAATATCTAACAATGTGTGTGTAAGCTCCTACAGCTTAATGACAACATTAGCTGCTGAGTGGAACATACCTGTCACCTGTGTACAATGGGTCACCGTCTAAACACAGCCAGGACGCTGTGCTTCATTCATCCGCACTCAGAATACGTGGCCACGCCCACCCCCAACTGCCCTGAGTTTCCTGAATGTCACCCATTCTCATCCTGTCACCCTAATATCACCCCAATCACAATCATCATCATGTCTGATCATAGCTTTCCTTTAGACAATCTACAGGCAAGAAGTCAACTAGATACTAGTATCAGTATCAATCCTTATCCTATCAATAACTAATCACATCAATTGTTTGAATCAGAGGTGGTAAAAGGCTGACGGTCTGGTTTCACAGGTGTCTGTGTGTGGCTCTGTTGGTTTAACATGCAGTCCCTCTACCTGAAGCAGTGCGTGTCCCGGAGGAAGAGGAGGTGTGTCCAGCAGAAGAAGGGGTGCTGTGAGTGTAGCCGGGGGAGTATTGGTTGTAGGGCTGGCTTCTGCAAAAACAAACACACAGCACACATAACCCGAAGGCTCTGAATGGAACAGAACGGGAATGATATCACAGTTTGCTTTCGGGGCTTCTTGCGGTCACTCATTCTTCTCCATCTCTTTACTAACCTCTGACGACCAAAGAGATATCCCAGAACCCCTCCTGTCCCCATGCCGGTCCAGAATCCTCCACCTGTGCCAGGAGCAGCGTGGCCTCCTGGGTACTGTTGTCCTTGAGTGTAGTTACTGTGGAAACCGTAACCTGGGTTGGCACCAGAATACCCTGAGCACAAAACAAGAAAGGATTCAAGGTTTAAGCAAGGTAGCTGTACTCTTATTTCCCACAGTGTATCGGGGCTATTTCCCACAGTGTATCGGGGCTATTTCCCACAGTGTATCCGGGCTATTTCTACGAGGGAAAACAACGACCCTGTATTGCTTTGAGGATGTTTTCTGCAGCGCAAACAAGACATCTACTGCTGCTCTAACCACAACGTGAATCAGCTACCTGTGAAATCCGGTTTGAAACCCGGGGGAGGTGGTCCTGCGGTGGAGCCATGGTGATTATCTCTGGGGTAACCAGCCTGCCCACCATTCTGCCCCCACTGGGCCGTGTTCCCGCTGAGGAACAGCTTGTAGACGCCGTAGGCTAAGAGCAGAAGCACGACCACTACCAGCAGGCTTCCTGAGTCCTCGCTGCTGGATGGGTGCGAGCTCTGACGGCTCTGCTGGTTGTGCTGGTGGTGCTGATGCTTTTTTCCAGAGAAACCGCTGAAGAAACTGGAGGCAAAGCCACCAAGATCTGAGACAGACAGACAGGAAAAAAATGATGTTTTTGAATATATCTAGTCCTGTTGAAGTTGAAGCCTCATACATCTCTATCATCCTACCTCCAAATCCATTGAATCCACTTTTGGAACCCCAGCTACCCTGGTTCTTCCTCTGGCCCTGTGCAGTCAGTTCCAGTGTGTACTCCAGCCCACAGGAGCCCTTCAGTATGTAGGCGTCAGTGGGGTGGGCATAGCCCTCACAGCTCACCTCAATGCGACCAAATCGGTACGCGTTGTCCATATCAGTCTTACACTCCCACTGCGAGGGGAATGCAGGAAAATGACAACACGTCATTCAAAACTTTGTTTTCATATTCAAACAAGCTTGAGAGTTCCTCACACACACACACACACACACACACACACACACACACACACACACACACACACACACACACACACACACACACACACACACACACACACACACACACACACACACACACACAGTAGAAACCAGCTGTCAGAATTACATCACTGTCCAACTGTTAAGAGTTCATTCATGTTTCCCACAGTTAACACCCACAATCATCCAATAATCCAATCACACCCTCCCAAAAACCCTACGCTGTGTGACATCAACTCCATGAAATGTGTTAGGGAGCTGCTGTTGGTCAGTGGGGGACAGATGCCAGCTTTACTTTTGGCATTCTATCACATTTCATCACAAGTCAGTGTATTGTAGCCCTGTCTCATCGCCCTGTCTCTGGAGTCTAGGTAGAGGAGGAATAACCCGGTGGATTGTTTATTTCCCAGTTGGAGTGTCTCCAGGAGTTGCTCTTCTTGGTGGAGCCAAGGCCGATGCTGAAAACCCGACTGATGACAGCAGAGTGAGGACCGGGTGTATATACTGTAAATAGCCCATTAAAGATTGTTTTGAACTGTGAATACAGATGCTTTTATTTCAGTCTTGACTTCCTGGTTTTGGTTTTATGGGGTTCCACAGCAAAATTCAGAGTGTTACTCTTTTGTAACTGTTTCCAAAATCAAGGACTTTGTTATCAGCACATATCAGTTCTACAATGTTATATTAAGTATGACTCTGTTCACAGTCACACCTCCTGGCTTAAAGATCAACTTATCAGTCCTCTATAATGGACACACTGTTTCTACATGACCTCACACCCAGTACATCAAATCCAACTATATAATGAAAAAGGTTGAAGTGTGGGTGTATGGTGTGAGGTCACCCATAGGATTCTGAAGAGCTCAGTGTGGTGGCTCTGGTCACCTTAATATTAACATTAACATTAACATTAACCCCCCCGTACAGTCGTCATGAACAGGGAAATGAGCTACAGAGACCAAAACCTTTTTTGCAGCAGGCTGTAAACATGTTTATTTCTGCTGTAAAGTTGGCCATTTTAATATGGGGCCTTATGGAGACTGACTCACTGCTGGCGCCAGGCTCAAGTGGCTGTTAGAAGAACTGCAGTTTTTATTACTTTTTCAGCCACAGATTTTGCAGCTTGACCAATAAAGTAAGTAACTCCCTCCATCCCTCCGTACCTCACTATCTACCTACCTTCCCACCCACCCACTGGCACTCAGAACTAGAGCTAAAACAATTATGTGATGTATCGATTATCAGAAAACGAATAGTCAACTATTTTGATAAATAATCATTTAAGACTTTAAAAGGAAAAATGCCCCCAAACCAACCATTGGATGCAGCTTCTAAAAAGCTCAGTGACAGTATATTGAAGGTCTTTGGGTTTTAGATCAAATGAGCAATGTGAATACATCAGTGTGGACTTTGGGAAGTTGTGATGGTCTCTTTTTGCTATATTGTGACATTTTATCAATCAAATAATTAATCAAGAAAATAATCTTCAGATTAATCAACAGTTGCAGCCCAACTCGGAGCAAACAGTATATTCCATATATACTTCATCTCTCTGTCAACCAGTGCCCCCCTCCTCTTTTACCTGTACATCCACTCCATCCCAGCCTTTGTTCTGACACTGGACCACCTCTGGGACGAAGGCCTGGCAGCCTGCTGAGCCTCCGACACACTGGAGCTGAGGGACGGGGCTGGAGCGCCTTGCTGTGGTGTAGCGATCCTTGTACAGAGTCAGCACCTGGACGTCCCGCAGCAGCACACTGCCTGCAGTGGGGGGAGCAGAAAGAGAGAGTTACCATTATAATAGTAGGAGTCACTTTGCAAACATATAGAAGCTCATAATGCCAAGTTAAACATAAAGGCAGCAACTTTTAGAGAATGGAGCTTCAGTTATTTTGATCAGTGAACATGGTGGGTGGATACAACAGTCCTGCAGTAAAGTGGTGTACTGGTGCTGCTAAATAGCATTATAATAGAACATTTCTTACTTTGAATTGGAGATTTTTGTTGATTTTGTTCTTAGAGATAACCACGACAGACCAAGGTATTATAATTAACTAAAACTAAACTAAAAAGTAAAACTAAGAGTGAGAAAATATTTTTGCGAACTGATGTAAAAAATATAAAAATGACTGAAAAGACATTGTGTACTCACAAATTCCAATATACAGGAAATGTGTTTGTAGGCTTTTGGAAATTTGGTCCAATTTGTCAACGTCTTCAATCTGTCCCCTGACAAACACTGCCCTATTACAGTACAACTACTAACACTAACACTGACACTACAACGTTTAAACAATAAAAAACTACACTGAAAAAAACGAAATAAAAACTACAATAACTCTGTGACGCACGTATCAATATGTACTGTACGGAATAGGTCATGTTATGTAAAGATACGGGCAGATAAAATGTAAGTTAAACTAGCAGGACATGACAGGAATATAATAACTAGACTGTTTCATGAACTCAAGGGTCACTGATACAAACTCATTACACCTTAAACTCGAGACTAACGTTAAATAGCACTTTTAGCAGCTGTATCATCCGGACATCCGTGTAGGGTCTATACGTCGGCTGTTTCTACTATGCTGCATTAAAAAGACTGTTAGCATTAAAAATAACTTCTGTAACGTTACTTGAATTGGCATATATTATTTAATTTAGTTTGAAATTTGAACATGTTAACGTTAGCGGCTGTGGGCGGAAGTCGTGGTGTTTTGTCTGTTTGGTTGCCGTAGTTCACTGTTGTAACGTTTCCTAAACATGGCGGCTGTCTTTAAAAACACTGTAACTCAAATATGAATTCAAATAACTGGCAACGTTAAAGATACTTAAGCCGTCGAAGAAAGCGAAACCTACCGTCATCCCAACTCACTGTGAGCCCCACCAACAAAAACTGCAACACGACTGTAATAAAGCGTTTCATTTGGCTGCTGTGTGTTTCCTCAGGAGCTCCGCCGGCCGCTGTTTCTCTCAGTGACTGACTGAACTTATTGAGGTGGAAGTATCCGCGTTACATTCAACCTCACTGCTGGTGAAACCAAACCCCAACACTACAAACGTTTACTTCCGTGTTGCGTCATCTGTTTTATACTGTCGTCAACCAATGGGGAACGCGCACGACTGTTGTGCAGTTCACCCAGTTCACCCAGTGGATTGATACATGATGTGTGAAATCTGCAACAAGCAGTGGGGTTTTTACACATTTCTGAGTTTTGTCTTGGCTCAAAAACTCTCTTACTCTCAATGTCCATCTAATATAGATCAGCAAAGTTTACTGACTGTTCACTGGCACATGAGCCAAGTATTAATATATGGAAGAGGCCATTTATTGCATTTTTCCAGGCTCATACTTCATATAGGGGAGTCACATTTTAAAATATACTGGTGTTATAGTGTAAGTTGCATTGCAAGTCTTGCCAAGTCCATACCTCTGGGACACAGTGTAAAGAAATGTAAGAATAATCGCAATTAAAAAGTTAGGTCACTACTGTTTTTGTTGAGAGTGTAATACAACTAGAAATCAAAGGTAGACTTACTTTACTTTGACATTTTACTTCTCTCATAAGCTTATAACTGTAGGAGCAGTAGATGTCCTGTTACATGGTTCAATTGTGTAGGGAGGAAACAAATGGCTATATTTTCTATATTCAGGATGTGATTGAAGAATGGAAATTTTGGGAATGAGTTTTATTTTTGTCTTGTCAAAACGGGATGCCTACATTACCCACAATGCGACTCTGACTGCACACAGTTTACGTTGGAGGTTGGGGTGTGTTGTGCCAGCTACTAATCTAGCCAGCAGAGGAGCAGCTTCTGAGGTCTGGTAAATGTCTTTCTTTTCTTACTCCACACATCCAGATGCATCACAAACAAAATTCCACTCACCACCATTGTATGGGCTGGAAGCAAAACTGTTCTGACAGATACCACAAGGAGTAACACTTCTTATGATTCAGATTAAGTTTTTCTGGCCTCACTGCAGCATCCTCTCTCAAAGTGTAGTCATTCATTTCCCTGAAATCACAATAACAGAGAGAAGACAGTGGTAGTAGTAGAAACCAGGTCTTTTATTTGCTCAATCACCCATAGCTCAGCCCATATTAAATCTCTGCTATAAGTTAGATATTTACAACATCATTCAAGGCCCTTCACAAAATGCATCATGATCTTCTTTACAAAGAAATCTATTTACATTGTACAAAACATTGCATACACGATCATCCGTACACCAAACCCTCTTCCCCTTGCAAAAACAAACAAAAAAGCAGTCACATTGTCTTCATTTGTTGTTACCCCCACCATCAGTTATGTATTTCTCAGCGGTATCATCCCCTAATCCAACAACCCAGTGGTTTTTTGTCTCCTTTTTTTTAATTTTCAGTTTTTACATAGGCAGTTGCTAAATCACAGTCAACTGGTCAGCTACTGAATTACTCATCAAGACTGTCAGTAAGGCAGTCAGTCAGTCAGTCAGGTCATTGTTTTTAAAGATGTGCTCTCCTCCACATTTAAGCTCCTCTAAAGCATCCCAGTGCTCAAGTTGATGGAAATTAATTCAAGCAGACGGTAGTCAATAGAAGTAACTGGAAACCAATCAAAGTTAAGAAAATAAAGGTAGTTTTCTTTATGCTGTTGTGCATTTGAAAGCATTTTCTAGTAGGGCTGGTTTCAGACATGGCACATTGGGAATGAGAAACTAACGCTGGCTGTATGAAGCTTTATACAAGAGGACACAAGTGTTGCATGATTTATTTTCATTTGTTCCTTTGTATCCTGATACAGTGTGTTTAATTGAATTTAGCTTATTCTGGAACCCAATTTAGCCTGTTAGATTACTGCATTAGCTCCGAGCTAGAAGTGGCCCTCTAATTGGAAGTACTAAAAATGCCTTTCACAGCCTAAGAAAAAACACAAATACAATACGATATGTCTGTGTCCTTTTTTTAGCATACTCAGCATGTGCCTGCAGGAGCTTTACTTGCGTCTCGCTGGGAGCTGAGGACAGTCTCTCCACCTTGTGTCTGGCCCCAGACGAAGGATTACTGACATGGTGACATTTAGCTCTTTGAGACGCAAACCAAGCAGGAAAGTGCTAACAGGTAATTTTTACATGTTGATTGTTCTTCCATTGATATATATCAATGATATATCCAACAGCGCTTTCTTTAGGATATCCCATTTCAATCCACTACTCCAGCCTGAATCTTAACCCGACTCGCAGACAGAAGCGAGCATTACGCCAGCCAGTGCATGTACCAACACTTCACCTGGTCCAACACACTGATGATGATGATGATGATGATGATGATGATGATGACGCGATTGAATCCTCCACCGATAAAAAATGATTCTTTGGTGAAAGAGCTAACAGTTGATTGAGAAGGACTAATAAGAGCATGGCTGAATAGTTGGAGCTGATGTGATTAATTTCATAAATCAGTGTAGTGGTTTAGAAAAGACCTGAGAGCCCAAAAGAACAGACAGAGAGACGGCGTGTAAACACAATGAAGGACATGTTTCCAGTTCAGTGTTTGTCCAACAGCTCGTTCTGAGGACCAGTAGCTTCAGCCTCCATCTGGAGTGTCAATGTGTCTATAATACATGACCATATGGAGTGACAGAGGCTCATTTTGGCTGATACCAACAGTGTTGGGTTGAAGCTGTCAATAGTTGATACTCTTTCAACTCTGGAGGTTTACTGACACTGACCGGCTCATATCAAAGACTCTTGACAGTATCAGTTTGATATATCTGTAAACTTATAGTATGGATGTATTTCTTGGCATGTGTTAATCAGTGTGTATGTCCTCATAAAGTCACCATGTTTTCCTCCAAGCTCACAGTCTTCATACAGCCACTATGTTGTTCATTTCCCATTTCTGAGTGGTTTTACTGGTGTCACAGTCCGATATGAACACTTTGTGGAGCAGGTCGGAGCGGTCCAAGCACTTCCCTGTTAGGAGAACACAGATGGCCATTACTACTGTGGTTGTTCCAGGGATTCTGAGGAATATTTCAATTTAGCCTAACCAGTCAGCCACTGATAATCACACTACTGCTTGTGTGGTCTGTAGTTCTTACGGTTTGGTTTGTACAGTTAGAAGAGGAAATCCCTGACCTCTGATCAGAAAGAACATGCAGCAACCACTAGATGGCAGCCACTAGTAACAGAACTGTTCACCTGGAAATGAACAGGTGAACAGTTCTGTTACTAATGATGCTTGAAGCAGTTAAAACTGGTCAATGCCTCCTTGTGGTTCACTGGATGACACACACACACTGTGTGATGGACTTGAACTTAGTAGTGACTGCTTAAGAAAAGTACTATAATGAATCTAAAACAAACGAACAAATTAAATCTGTCCTATTACACAACGTGTCCATGAGCCCATTCATGGTCTCACAAATCATAGAAAAACAACCCAACCTTACACACAAAATGTAACAGCAAACTATTATACTACTATAATAACTAATATAGTATTTAAAAAAACTATATTAACAATGACATACTACAACAAATATATATTGAACTTGAGAAAACAACAACAGTAAACACAACTAAATGTCCTCAAATATATATTGGACGTTTCTGTGCTCCAACTGGCTGACACTGGCTCTAGTTTAACTACAGCCTGTGCTGCAATCTAGTGGCTGCTGCATGTTCTGTCTGATCAGAGGTCAGGGTTTTTCTCTTCTAACTGTACAAACCAAACTGTAAGTACTACAGACCACACAAGCAGTAGTGTGACTTTATCAGTGGCTGACTGGTTAGGCTAACTGTAGAAACTTCATAGAAATGAAGGCTTCCTAATCTTCCTTTTACTGGTAAAATGATGTCTGTCAGTGATGGCGAGGGATCACTGTGTGAAACTATACGAAAACTGTTGTTAGTCTTAAAGTAGTGCAGATATTTACCTGTTGGCACATGAGTGAACCGATGGAGATCCTGGATAGACAGACAGAAAGAGAGAGAAAGAGAGAGAAGCAGGGAGACTAGATGAATTCTTCATTCCAATATTTTCCACACACTGGTGAGCAGAGCAAGTGTGTGCATCTCACCTTGAAGTACTTCCACTCAGTGTGCTGGTTTTGATCACAGTGTGTGATGATGACAGCTGAATTATCACCTCCTCTGGTCAAGCACTGGTCATACTGCATCAACTGGTTGGCTTCATTTATACGGAACAACTACAGACACACAAACATTTTAATGTGAGTGATGTGACCATTGGTTAGTTAAATGGTTAAGTGTAGATGTCCTGATGCCATTAAAACCCTCATCTGGCAAAACTTGACCCCGGCAACCTGGACAACTCTGCATTCTTTCCATTCTGTGACCTTATCAGTGGTTTGTTCCATTGAGGGAAACAGAGTTATCAAAAAATAGAAAGGCTGTAACACAGCAATGCACTCCAGTAGTTGCACATCTGGAAAAAATAACCTGTCTGAACAACAGCTACAACTCCTGTACAAGAATTCGTTCTGAGTGAAGGAAAACTGCTAAATTCTGATTGAACATGGCAGATTAAGAAACGGGCTATTCACTGACCGTCATGGCTACATATTGCTCTCCTATTTAAAGACTGAAACAGATCCAGACCATCTCTATCTGGACTGCACAGAGCTACAGTAGACAGCGCAACACACCTCGAGAGACGTTGAGTGTTTCATTACCTGGTTGCCCCCCATCCTGTGGCAAGGTCCTATTTCCACATTGCCTCCATTAGTGTGTCCCATACTGTCAATACAGTAACTTGTCTCAAAGCCCCGAACCTACACACACAGGATACACACACACACACACAATCTTATGACACAGAATATTACACAAAATGGATTTTACAACCATGCAAGAAACAGTAACTGAACTAATTAACTGTGTGTGTGTGTGTGTGTGTGTGTGTGTGTGTGCCTACCTCCCCCCATTCTACGTTTTTAGGAGGCAGAGGGTAGTGCAGTGGAATGTCGTACGCTATCTCCTCCATGAACCACTTGAAGCTCTTGCATCGATGTTCCTCCCTGACAAAAAGTTCAGACAACAAAGAGCCAACAATTCATTTACAACCTGT